CCCCCCCCCCCCCCCCCCCACCACACACACACACACACACACATATCTGCACAGGATGCGGCGCTCCCGTCTGCGTCGGCGGTTGACAGCGTGGTGCCGTCAGGCAGCGGCGGGAGTCTGGAAGATGCGATGCAGAACCCAATGGCGGCTGTGAATGACCCCAGCAAGATGATGGAGCTCCTGGGGAACAAAGACCTCGCTGACCAGCTGTTCACGGTGAGTGAGGTGTGCTACACACAGGAGTTCTAAGAAGAGTGACAGGGACAGGGAGGGGACAGGGAGGGGGGCTGAGTGAGTGAGTGAGTGTGAGTGTGGGTGTGGGTGTGGGTGTGGGCAGAGCTGTGAGACGATGCTGAACGACCCGAAGAAGCTCGAGGAGATGCGGCAGATGATGCTCAAGGCCCTCACAAGCCCAATGATGAAGGTCTGCACACACGTACACGTGTGCGTCTGTCTGTCTGCACTTATGTCTTTCGTCTGTGTGTGGCCAGGGCCGTGTCCCCCGCGAGCAGCTGGCGCCCCTCCGCGACCCCAAGAAGTTCAAGCTCCTCATGCAGGAGCAACTCGCCACCATGAAGCTCATCAGCGAGCGACAAATCAAGGCCAAACAGGCGATGGAGGCCTCTGCTGCCACCAACAGCAACAGCAGCGACAGGCGGCCGACTGACTTGTCCGGGCTCACCTCGCAGCCCACGATTGAGAGCCACACACAACCGGCCGACAAGTAGAAGGAAGATTGGGCGGTCCGGCAGGTGCGGTGCAGTGCACCTGGGATGATTATTTGTGAGTGCGTGAAGGCAGGCGTGGGTGCGTTTAAAGACATACATCATCAAGGACGTGCGTGTGCGTGTGCGTGTGCGTGTGTGTGTGTGTGTGTGTGTGTGAGGCATGTGTGTGAGGGAGGGAGGGTGGGAGAGTGGGTTGGACCACTTGGGTCTGTCGGTTTGTTCAACTCAACGAATGTACATACATACATCCGTCCCATACCATACATGCCATATGTGCCGCCACGGTCAGTCAGTCCAATCATGGGGGGAACGTTTCAGCCTTCCTTCTCCGCACCGATTGTTGCGATGCGATGCGAGCAGTGAGTGAGTGACACGACACACACCAGGGAGGGAAGCTACACACTCACTCACAGAAAGACGTCTGGCTCGCTGCCCGCCTGCAGAACACTCACATCGCATTCAGCAAGTACTGATTGTGCACCCAGGCAGGTAGCTTAGCTATTCACATCACACGCACTCTCTCCCCACCCGACCCGCCAGAATCGCGTCACGTTGAGCAGCTCGTTTTGCGCCCGCCGATGAAGTACCTCCTGGACACACACACACACACTGACTCTACTAGCCTGCTTGCCTGCATCTGTTCGTTGGTTCGCACCTCTGAGCAGAAGCCTTTCTGTTTGAAAAGCTGGCGGATCTCCTCGGGCTTGTTGCGCCTCTCGGAGAGCTGGACAACGAGCACGACAGCACAGCACAGCACACCACAGGGCCTGAAGGGCCGGAACCTGAGTGCTTCGGTGCGGTGCGATTTCGTGGGTCTTTTGCGCACCCACCAGGTAGATGCAGCCACCGTCAGCCAGGTGGTCCTGGAGAAGGAAACGTACAGACAGACATACGCACGGACATCGCAATCATCAAGGCGGCAAGGCAAGGCAAGGCAAGTGCCGCATTTGTCTGTTCTGCCCGGGCGGTGCCGTGGTGCATCATGCCATCCACCGCACCGCGCCGCACCCACTAGCTTACCGGGGCTTGTTGGATGAATCTGTCGATGACCTCCCTGCCGTCGACTCCGCCAGCCCATGCAGCAGCGATTCCTCCCTCACACATCTCCTCAGCTGGGCTTGGCACATACGGCTGCCACAGAGAGGTAAGGCATTGAATGCATTGCAACCATTGACAAAGAGTGCAGGATGCAGGCAGTGCAGTGCGCCCTTACTGGGTTGAAGAGCATCATGTCGAAGGTCTGCCTCGGTCGAATGGCCCTGAAGAGATCGCCCTGCAGCCCGTCGAAATGCTGGCCCACGCCGTTGCATGCTGCCGTCTTGAGTGCCGCCGTGACGGCCTTGGGGTTGATGTCGATGAGCAGACACGACGGCAGACACTGCACCGCCCGCTTCTGGAGCTGCTGCAGCAGGTGGACAGATATGCACCCGCTGCCCGGCCTGTGCAGACAAACAAATGGTGGTTGGTTCATGACTCATCCATGTGTGTGTGTGTGTGTGTGTGTGACTGAGTGTGTTGCCTCCCTCCCTCCCTCACTGCCTCCAGCCTCAGTGCCTGCCTGCCTGACCGACCCCATTTCGAGAATGCGTGTGGGCTTGGCGTCTGCGATTCGCGTGAGTTCCTTGTCGAGGGCGTCGATGAAGAGGAAGGTGTCCTCTGACGGCTCGTACACGTCGGCATAGTCATCGCGACTCAGATGGTCCAAACACGGAAGGCAACTCATGACACCTGCATGTCATCACAGACATGACATCCATAGCTCAGTCACCTCATGCATGTTGTGTGTCATCCTCCTCACCATCTGTGCCTCATTGCACAGCGCTTGTGGCACAAGCGCAGCCGCCCAGACAGTGACAAACTTCAGCTTTCGCTTCAGCCAGAGGCATTCCGTGAAACCGCCTGCAGGCCGGCAGTCGTCCCATGTCGCAGTGTGACCCGTCCTCCATCTTCGCCTCGTGTTGCCTGTTCTTTGTGCCGATGGATGGGCTGTCGGCACGGGCCACGAAATTGATCAAGCCATGCGTCCTCGAAATGGGAGGGAGAGTGGAGGACCAGCTCACCGTGATATTCAGCGGAGATCTCACACAGCAGGAAGATGAAAACGATGTCATTGATCTCGAGCAAGACGACGAACGCGTCATGAATCCCGTCGTGACGCACCTCATTGTTGCGAGGAGTGTCAACAGCGATGTGAGCAGACACCACAAGAGGAACGGGGGCCATTTGTATGAGTCGGTTCTTTCGATGGGTTGTACTTCGTTCATATATGCAGGCGTTTCTTCGCTATCTGGGGCGGCATGACATCAGCGAGGCCATGATAGCTCGGCGTGAGCAGACGGGATGACGGGTGATACACACACACCGAACCGACCATGCACCATCGCAGATCTACCCAAATTGTGTGTTTTTGGTCCTCTTTTGTCCATATAGATGGCTGGATAGCAAACTATGGCCGCAGAGATGTGGAGCTACGGTCCCGACTGCGAGGGGAAGGACTGCAATACCGACACATACGGTGGGCGGATCTATCTGTGAGATCTATGGATGTGCCGTTCATTCGACTTGTCCGTCGGTTGTGTGCAGGTGCGTCGTTTGTCGGCCGCTCTCAGGAGATCCAGGCCACTAAGCACACGACTACGGCCGCCAACAAGCACGGTACGTAACGGGACGTCCCCCACACCCATATGTATGCACATATGTGCTGCACACATGGCGCCCTCTCTCTGTGTGCGTGCAGGTGGTGCGTTGGGTGCTGGTGAGTGGTCGATGCTGCAGCAGCAGATCCAGACCGGCAAGGCCCTCCACCAGTCGGCCAAGAAACTCACCGCTGCGGCCCACGAGCTGAGTGCCGCCGCCCTCGATGGCCTCAGCACGGCCGCCAAGGAGCTGTCCGCCATCATGATGGCCATGCAAGCCACCGACAACGCCCAGCGCACCATCATGACGGCGGCCGACGGCCACCACACCGGTACGCCTGCCTTCACACACATCCATTGACTAATGCGTCGTGTGCTGATACATGTATGCGTGCGTGCAGGTAAGAAATCTACCAACTGCTGAGAGAAATCTTATCTCTGCAAAGATAGAACTAAAGGAAAGCCAATTGACGAGGGCAAGATGTGCGGGAACTATAAGGAAATTGACTATGACTATGTCAAAGCGGGCTACCGCAATGCACTATATCACGAAGGGCCGTGCAGGTGCAACAAATACGGCGAATGCGTGAAGGCGTCCAAGTAGGTATGGGCTTCTTTCTCACGATAGATAGAAAGATTCGCGCGGATGGGTAGGTGGGCGCACAAGTAGACGCGCTGCTTGCATGGATGGATGGATGGATGTGAGTAGATGGGTGCGTCCGGCCATGTCTGGAAGGCACAGAAGCAAGGGAGGGTGCGTCTTTCTTTGCGTGTCCGCGTGTTGTGCTGTGCCGTGAGTGACTATGGTTCTTCTTCCCTGTCTGTCTGTCCCTCCCCTCCCCTGTCTGTCTGTCTGTCTGTGTTGTGTGTGCCGTGGCTGGAATGATTGGATGGTGTGACTGCCACTTCATCTCGTACGAACCAGTGAAAACACGCCATGCATCCTTGAACAAGTGGTAGCCACACACCTGCACTCATCCATCTGTCCGTCAGACGATTCAAGTTAGCCACCCGCCCCCCAATGCGCCGATTCACAACGCCCCTCACGACATCACCGCCCCCGCGGTCGACAGACAGCTCGCGAGGCCTCTCGAGGTGCCCTCCCCTCAGGTAGGTGTCGTCTGGGGCACAAACAAGGCAGAGAGGAAAGGCACGCAGACAGACAGACCAGGCAGGGAGGCAGGCAGGCAGAAATGCATCGCAAAGGCAAAAATGCACCCCAATGCCATATACTTGAGCATCGTGCATATGCTCGCCTCGCCTCCCAACCGCCGCGTGTGTGCCGGGAAATCCGTCCATCAATCCATCCAGCCAGCCAGCCATCATTGTCTGTCTACCAGGCAATCCTTACTGAGTGTTCATTCGTCGGACACACCAACACCATTTCGTGTGTGTGCCCTTCGGTGGTTGCCAAAACATCCGTGCATGGCATGCAGCCGATGCACGCACTCGATCGACAGACACGTATACGCCCGCACAACGCACCCACCCACATGGACGGCATACATATTCACTGTGCAAGGGATGCGCCAAAACTTGCTCTTCTATTCATCACGGAGAGAGAGAGAGAGAGAGGGGGGGGGAGGGGACAGAGAGGGTGCCCTCTGCTGCTTCCTCTCCTCTCCTGCCTCCCTCCCTCTGTCCGTTTGTCCGTCTGTCTGTCTGTCTGTCTGATAGGTCTTGCACATGGCTACATCAATTGCATCAATCAAGTGCGATGATGATACCCTCACGGCCGTGCTGCTGCCGCCGCTGCGGCCGCCCCACCACCACCACCGCTGCCACCAGAGCCGCGCTTCTTCTTCTGCTGGCCACCATTCTCTGCATTGAACTCCTCTTCCTTGCATAATGCGCAGCCGATAGGCATCTCGCAGGGGTTCTGATGCAATCCATCCACACACCAAAAAAACACAGATAGAGATATAGGCAGACAAGGACGGCAGGGCCTGTGTGTGTCTGTGGGGGGGGGGCGTGGTGGGTGGGGGTGTGAGGGCTCACCGGTGGGTGGTTGCCGCCGAGTGCGCACTTGTGGGGGCCTGGGCATGGCTTGCCGATGCGGTTGGTGTTGTCTGAGATGACACACACACACACACACAGGCAGAGAAAGAAGGAAAAAGATGTGGTGCGTGGTGTGCCGTGCTGTGCCCTCTGCTCTCACGGTATGCATCGTATCGATAGGCATTGTCATTGTCTGAACCAACCGCCCACGCACCCCACCCCACCCCAGCCATGCGATCAATCAATCAACCAATCATGGCACACCACACCACACCGCCCAGGCACCCAGACTTACTGACGTAACTAACCCACTCTCTCTGTCAGAGCCTTCCTTTCTGTCATGCTGGGCTGAGCTGTGCTGTGCTGTGTTTTGCTCACGGCATTTGTCGCAGAAGTGAGTCGTGCCAAAGCAGAACCACTGCACACACAGAAAGCACACAGAGGGAGGGAGTGACAAGAAGAGTCGCACGACCCACCCCGTGTGTTGCCCTCCCTCGCTCGCTCCCTCCCTGTTTCGCTGGCTCCCTCGCTCACCACGGCCGGCTCGCAGCAGTAGCGGCACTTGAACTCCACAAAGCCATGGCCTAACACACATCACAGACACACACACAGACAGCCACACACAGACAGACACACACAGACAGAGAAAACAGTCCACCACAAACATCAATCACATGCATCCCGACCCACCATGTTTGGGGCACTGTCCGGCCTGTCCGATGGCGCACGCAGGGCAGACAAGCTCGTCCTTCTTGTTTGGCCTCACCCCGCCAGCACCCAGCGGCACCGCAGCAGCGCCCCTGGCAGGCGCGGCGCTCACGCGACGGCGCTTCTTCTTGCCCTTCCGGCCACGATCGGGTTGTGGTGCGGGGGCCGCTGCTGCTGCAGCTGCGGGGGCTGGGCCCTCGTTGTCATTGTCCTCCTCTTGGCGCAGGTCCCGCTCGCAGTCCAGACGGCCCCCACAGTAGACACGGCGACACCTGCATGACACAAACGCATCCATGAGTTTGATTCGTGTGTGTGGTGTGGTGTGGTGTGGCTGAGTCGCTGAGTTACACACTTGGAGCATTTGTAGAAGGCGTATTTGTGGAGTGCCTGCTCGCCGTCGAGTATCTGTCCGTCGGGGCCCGTCAGCTTCTCCAAACGGGCACGCTGCGCGGCGTTCGCAATCGCCTGTGCGTGTGACACACACACACACACACACACGCACAGATAGATAGCCACTCAGCGGCATGCATGCCGGCAGTCCGCACACCTTTCCTCTCTCTCTCCGTCTGTCTGCCTGCCTGTCTGTCTGTGTGCTGAGTGTCAAAGTATCATCTACCCACCCCGCTGCCTACCTCTGCGCGCAGGGCCTTAAGGGGCCGCATCTCATTCTCAATCACCTGATTCGACAGTCAGTCAGTCAGACAGACAGACAGATGGCGGATGGGGTGCGGTGTGGTGTGTTGGGTTGGGTTGCGGCCGGCGCTGTCTGTCTGTCTGTCTGTGTCCGTGTCTCCAACGTGTGGTGTGTGAGAGCGTGTGCAGTGAGTGTACCGGGTGCTCGAGCAGCTTGTTGCACCCCATCGGACACTTCAACAGGTTGAAGACTAACCTGCCACACACACAACACACACACAGACATGCAACAGACATAACCCTGTCTGTCTATCTGTCCATTCTTGTCAACGCGTCCCTCCCTCCCTCTGTGGGTCAGTCAGTGTAGTTGTTTGTGTGTGTGTGTGTGTGGTTTGCCGGCCGCTCACTCCCTCCCTCACCTCTCCCCATTGTCGAAGTTGATGTTGCTCAGCTGCGTCTTGACACAGCCATAGTGCAGCACATGGCCACACGCCAGCTTCAACACGGGGCTCTCGTTCAAGCCGTCCATGCATATCATGCAGTCCGTCACGCCGCCCCCCTTGCTCGCCGCCGATTCCTCGTGTGTGCAGTCGGGGTGCGTACACACACACCAGCACCTGTCGCCGCTCCGCTGGTACCGGTGCTGGTGTGGGTGCCACTCCCCAGCCGTGCCGCCACAGGGGTGCCCGCAGCTGAGCAGCCTGTTGCAGTGCGCCCGGCCCCTGGCCACACAGGCCTCCTTGTCGCAGTAGGGGCTGACGATGAGCTTGACGGTGGGCTCCTGGGGCGACTGGTCTTCCTCCTCTTCTGCGGCCGTGTTGTTGTCGTTCCCGGCCTTCTTGGCGGCGAGGCGTGTGCGAGGACCCCGCTTGGGGGGCGGGGGTGGGCGGGGGGGGTCCTCGGTGACGGTGGTGTCTGGGGGAGGGAGGGAGGGAGGGAGGGAGGACAGTGAGAGGGGAGGGAGCATTCGTGGAGGATGGCTGGCTGCAGCGCATCTGGTGTGTTGTGTTGTGTTGTACCTGGACCAACTTTTACGAGCAACACGCGGCTACAGAAGCGACACTCTGAGGTGGACAGACAAACAAAAAACAGACAGACAGGCAACATCCATCATATCAATCACACACAACCACCCCTATCCACCTATCACATCGACCCACCCAGGTCAGGTGTGTAGGTACCCACCCACCCAGGTACCTGAGTGCATGATGCCCTCCTTCTGCTGCATGCTAAGGGCCATCTTCCTGCCCGCCTCCTCCAGCCGCTTCTTCTCGGCCTCGCGAGCAGCGTCCGGCCTCTGCCACTTGGCGAACAGCGCCTTCGCCAGCTTCTCGTCCCTCTCCATCTGACTCTCGATGTCACGACGGTCCACCCCAGCATTGATCTCGCTCCACAGCCGCATTGCCAGGGCGTGGTCCGCATCCTCCTGCCTCTTGCGGCGACGCTCCTCGCCCGTCATGAAGGTGAAGGCGTCGAGGTCGATTTCGATGGGCTGTGAGGGACCGGCTGGCGCTGGCGCTGCGGCCGCTGCGGCCGCCGACGCAGACTCGCCGGGGTGTTCGTTGGCTGCAGGGGCAGGGAGCGCGGGCATGTCGTTGGCCATACGCAGGACAGCCTGATCACGCAGATGCCGGGCGTTTCTGCGGCGAATGATCCTGGTCGGTGGACAATGACCAGTAGAGGGTCGAGTGTTGTGCTTTTGGCTTTCTGTGACATACTTGCACTCCTCATCGCCCTCGCTTCCCTCCTCGTCTGAGTCGTCGATGAGGTTGATGTATTCACGCCTGCCATTACGGTTGGTGCCGACAGCACCCACACAGAGAGTACAGGATGTGTGCATGTGATGGAGCTCAGCTCACAGACCGACAGATTCAGGCGGTGCTGGCTTACATGATGGGAGGAGGTGGCTGAGGCCTCTCGGATGCAGCAGCAGCTGCTGCTGCTGCTGGTGCTGGACCTGGGTTGTCCTCGAAAGGCGGACTCACCTCCATCCCGACACAAAGCCTTCTGGTCGCTTCTCCCTTCGTCTGTGCCCTCTAGGGTGCAAACCCTGAAACCCCAAACCCTACTATCTCGGCTTTTGAAGCCTTTTTCCCATCCCAGGGAGACGAAAAATTCGTGCCTTGCATACATACGTACGAGCATAATTCGTCTCCCTCGGCTTTACCACCGGTAAAGCCGACCACGTATCCCTCGTGCACACATGGCTGTCAGGCCAGGATCACGGCCGTCTCAAAGCGAAGCAACCGAGGAGGGTTGTCTATAGTGATGCAGCGATTCACTGAATGAATGAATGACAATGAATGACAATGACCCATGATTGATTGATTCATTGCTTCACATATCCAGCGGCACGTCCCATGCATTGCAGAATCACCATCATTACACTGATGTGTGATATCGCTCGAAAGAGGAGCAGAGCGATCACAGAAGCGCACGCTGAAGTCTGTTTTCACCTGAGAAAAAGTCCGTTTCACATGATAACGAATTGTGTCTGTTGGCTGCGTCGATTGGTATCGATTCAGGATATGGTGGATGAATGGCATTCAATGCGGGCTGGGACCACTGATCGGCCGACACAGAAGGAGAGTGAGAGGGAGCGAGAGAGAGAGAGGGAGAGGGTGAGGGAGAGAGAGAGAGAGTGGACAGCAAAAATTGTCACCAAAAGCATGTCGACTGTCGACTGGCACACGAGCCATCACACACACACACATACACATACGGTCTCACGACACGAATGAGACCCATGCAATGCACTGCACCCGCCTAGTGCAATGCGCAGCTACACACCAATGACATTGTCGTCATACGTTCGTTGATCTCACCTCACAGCTGTCTGTGTGTCCCACCCACCTAAAGGACTGACTGAAGCTACCTACCTGAATGCCGTGATGCCTCTCAGGGCGCCTTGCGAAGTAGAAAGACAGTCTGATGACAGACAGATAAAGGGACTGCTGCACACATAGCATAGCCACCCACAGGACATGACAGGCACCATGCGGCGGCTCACACGCAAAAAAGTGCGACCCGGCCGACCGACCGACCGACCGACCAGGGGCAAAGGAAGGCTCATTCATCATCTGCCGCACACAACGAAGGAAAAGAGCTATCGCCTTAATTAATCTGGATGCCTCCCCCCAGGCCCCCGTCTGCCTACACTATACAAGACACAGGTACCCTCTCTCTGTCTGCCTCTCTATATCTGCCTTGCTGTCTCTCGCACATCGCAGACACAACGCAAGCCAGGATGTATGCGGGGGGGTATGGACGCACGCGACACAGACAGACAGACAGACAGATCCATTGCTGCTGACTGACAGGTAGACGGACGTGCTGCGCTCGCTGCACACACCTACACTGCACGCCATGGCAAGCCACAAACTGCGGCAGCACGATGAGTGGATGAATTGTCAGTTCGTCGACTCGACCGACCTGGCTGACTGGCCGGCCCGCTGAAAAACACAAACCCAACACCCCCACCCGTCGAGGGGCGCACCGCGCCCACCCGTCCATGTCAGGCAGGTATGTTATGTACACCCGTGCCAAGTCATCTCATCTATCTGTCGGCTCAACAGACAGACAGACACAACAGACGCCAACGGCAGCAAGAAACGAGCGGGAGAGGTCATGGATTGAGTAAAGACAGACAGCTGTAGGATGTGGTCGGTCGGTCAGCCCAGCTCGTCCTTCTCCTGCCTCGGCTCGTCCTGGGCTTCTTCTGTCAGCTTGTCGTCGTCTGGCTTCGTCCGCTCCCTCTCTTGCCTTGTCTGCCCTTGCCCTTGGTCGGCATCAACATGACTGTCCTTCCCTCCCCCATTGCCCCTCCCCATCCCCTTCTCGCGTCGGATCATCGCCGCCATCCGCGACACGTCATCACCGCCCGCATCTCCCTTTGCCTTCGGCCGCTCCGCTTCCTTCTTCTGAGCCCCTGCCCCCACCCCTGATGTCGGTGTCTTTTTCTTCCGCTCGCAGAGGAACTCGCCGATGAAGTCCTTGTCACGGACGTCGTCGAAGTGGAGAAAGGCTGACACGCCCCGCTCGTCGATCCACATGCAGTCGAAGCCGAGGTCGTGCCGCACATAGTCGAGGATCTCTTTGAGGGTGACCACCGGTTGTGTGTGAGATGACTTGACTTTGGCGGATTAGGCATCACCTTCAGCCGCACGAGCACAGAGAGAGACTGGGGGCCGGGTCGCAGCTGAGAAAGACGCGCACCAAAAAGGTGCAGGCCAGAAGCTGTGGGCGTGTGTGCAAAATAATGTGACTATGGGCTATCAGGCCTTACCAAGCAGAGGGAATGAGGTTGTGTGTGTGGGTCATGAGGGGAATCCGAAGTTGCTGAAAAGGTATCCCACCCCGAAAGTAGTTGAAGTAAATAACATACAGGCCTCTCCAGCTCAGAATCGCACCTTCATCAAGAGATCAGAAAAGCTTTGCTAGGGCCCTTGACGGCATGGCCGATCCCTTGAGATCGAACAGCATCTCTGTGAGCCGACAAGCGCACAAACAGAGAGAGATGTCATGTGGGAAGCCTTCTGGCTGCTTCTCGCTTCGTGTATGGCCTTTCTGTGTGTGAGCCTCTCTGGTGCCTTTTGTGTTTTGGGAAAGGCATGTGCCGTTAGCGACCCCTAGCACCGATCAAGCTCGCAGCTGTAAACACTCTCTGCTTTTGGAGGCTTTTTCCCATTGCAGGGGGGCGGGGCGGCGGTTGATGTGCTCAGTTAAAACCTAATTATGCGTAGGGTTTGCGAATTTCGTGAATGCGGTTGGTGTGCAGGAGTGCGTGGCAGACAGACAGACACACAGGCTCATGTCAATCAACAGGGAGGCACTGCACGCGCAGAGAGCGAGGGGGGGAAGGCCTGTGTGTGCAGCAGTGTGTGTGTGTGTGAGGGTGGTGGGTGGGTGGGTGGGTGGGTGGGTGCCACACGCGCACCCTCACACACTGCACACATGTAAGTGCGTGTGTCTGTTGGCTGCGTCGAAGTGGATGAATGGCATTGCAGTCGGTTGGGACCACTGTCGGCCGACACACGAAGGAGAGTGAGAGGGAGGGAGGGAGGGAGGGAGGGAGAGAGTGGACAGCAAAAATTGTCACCAAAAGCATGTCGACTGTCGATTGGCACACGAGCCATCACACACACACACACACACATACACATACGGTCTCACGACACGAATGAGACCCATGCACGGCACTGCACCCACCCAGTGCAATGCGCAGCTACACACCAATGACATTGTCGTCATACGTTCGTTGATCTCACAATTAAGCTGTCTGTGTGTCCCACCCACCTAAAGAACTGACTGAAGCTACCAAAGACCTGAATGCCGTGATGCCTCTCAGGGCGCCTTGCAAAGTAGAAAGACGGTCTGATGACAGACAGAGAAAGGGACTGCTGCACACATAGCATAGCCACCCACAGGACATGACATGCACCATGCGGCGGCTCACACGCAAAAAAGTGCGACCCGGCCGACCGACCGACCGACCGACCAGGGGCAAAGGAAGGCTCATTCATCATCTGCCGCACACAACGAAGGAAAAGAGCTAGCGCCTTAATTAATTTGGATGCCTCCCCCCAAGCCCCCCCCTCCCTCCGTCTGCCTACACTATACAAGACACAGGTACCCTCTCTCTGTCTGCCTTTCTATATCTGCCTTGCTGTCTCTCGCACATCGCAGACACAACGCAAGCGCAGGGGGGTATGGACGCACGCGACACAGACAGACAGACAGACAGATCCATTGCTGCTGACTGACAGGTAGACGGACGTGCTGCGCTCGCTGCACACACCTACACTGCACGCCATGGCAAGCCACAAACTGCGGCAGCACGATGAGTGGATGAATTGTCAGTTCGTCGACTCGACCAACCTGGCTGACTGGCCGGCCCGCTGAAAAACACAAACCCAACACCCCCACCCGTCGAGGGGCGCACCGCGCCCACCCGTCCATGTCAGGCAGGTATGTTATGTACACCCGTGCCAAGTCATCTCATCTATCTGTCGGCTCAACAGACAGACAGACACAACAGACGCCAACGGCAGCAAGAAACGAGCGGGAGAGGTCATGGATTGAGTAAAGACAGACAGCTGTGGGATGTGGTCGGTCGGTCAGCCCAGCTCGTCCTTCTCCTGCCTCGGCTCTTCCTGGGCTTCTTCTGTCAGCTTGCCGTCGTCTGGCTTCGTCCGCTCCCTCTCTTGCCTTGTCTGCCCTTGCCCTTGGTCGGCATCAACATGACTGCCCTTCCCTCCCCCATTGCCCCTCCCCATCCCCTTCTCGCGTCGGATCATCGCCGCCATCCGCGACACGTCATCACCGCCCGCATCTCCCTTTGCCTTCGGCCGCTCCGCTTCCTTCTTCTGAGCCCCTGCCCCCACCCCTGATGTCGGTGTCTTCTTCTTCCGCTCGCAGAGGAACTCGCCGATGAAGTCCTTTTCAGGGACGTCGTCGAAGTGGAGAAAGGCTGACACGCCCCGCTCGTCGATCCACATGCAGTCGAAGCCGAGGTCGTGCCGCACATAGTCGAGGATCTCTTTGGCGGGCCACTCGTGGCGATGGGGGAGGCCCGGCAGCGGGGGCATGGTGTTGATCGTCAGCTGCAGGTACTTGACGTGACGACGGAGGAGGCGAGACGCGCCTGAGGGAGGGAAGGATGCGATGCGTGGCCGGCCACATGTGTGCTGCATGGATACCCCGGTGTGCGTGTGCCTACCGTACCGTGGAGGACTCTCATGACGGGCGCTGTGGTCTCGACGCGCATCAGCTGGATAGGCCGGTCGATGAAGTCGTCCAAACGGACGGTCTGCACCTGCAACACACACCGCACACAAGAGTGGGTGGACACACCGACATTACATGCTGCACCACAATCCTCTGGGCCGTGTCAAGCCCCCACACCCACCCACCCCCTCACCCGTTGGAAGAGCCTCTGCAGGCTATCCTCCTCTGGCTTGTCGTCATCGCACTTGATGGGGCCCTCCAACACCATCTTCGGAGCGTTCTCAGCTGGCGAACAATTAACCAACCACAACACAACACAACAACACAGACGCCATCCACCCCTGCGTCATCCCTCTCTCCCTCCCTCCGTCCGGTTCTTTCTCACGCTTCTCCAGCTGGCAGATGCGCGTGTCGTTGTCAGGTGCGAATGGGTAGATGACCATGCTGCCCATCCTGCCGTTGGGCCCGAAGAGCTCCCCCTCGGCCTGCCCTATGTCGAGGGCACGCTGGTCCAGGAAGTAGCTGCCGAAGAAGGCGTCAAAGCCGATGACCGAGTAGCCCGCATAGGCCAGCATCACGCCGTACCAGCTGCTGTCCACACCCGCGTCGAGGAAGATGCAGTCCTCGAACGGCAGGCAGCTCTGAACCACCGATGCAGGCAAGGATGTTGTGTGTGGTGCGCGGTGCAGAGTGCGCCTGCTTATCTGTCTGTCTGTCTCTGTCTGTCTGTCTGTCTGTCTGTCTGTCAGCCTACCGCCATGATTTTGAGTGCGTTGGTGAACTGTGGCGACTGTATGCCCATGATGACCTGCCCCTGCAGCTCCACCCGTGAGCTCCTGATCTGGTCCCTCTTCTGCGGCGAGCAAAGGAGGTACCGCTTCCAGTGGCCGTTGTCGTTGCCGTCGGGCCCTGCGGCTGGCGTGCCGTCCTCAGCGGGGAATCCCTCCACTTTGCCGTCGAGGACGCGGGGCCCTGTGAACATGCTGTGGACGTCGGCCTCGAAGGCACCCGCCTCCTGCAGACTCCTCGCGATAGCCACCACCTCGATCTCCTTGTTGTCACCCGGCGACTCCTCGATCTTCACCTCTCCCTGTTTACCCTCCTCCTGCTGCTGCTGCTGCTGCTGTTGCGGGTGGTGCTGCTGCCGTGTTAGTGTCAGCGGCATCTCCCTCTGCTTTTGTTGCCCTTGTTCGTGCTGTTGATCTTCTTGTTGTGACGGTTTCCCTAAGGGCGCCTTCCGTCTCGGCTGCTGCTGGTGCTGCTGCCGCGGGTGTGGCTGTTGTTCAGTGGGGTGGGAGGGTGTGTGTGGTGGCTCCGACTCGTCGGGCACCCACATGTTCATTTCCTGTCGAGAGCACACCGGGAAGTGTCCGACGGTGAACTCGAGGTCGCTGATGGCGTCCTGCACGAAGGCCGTCACGTTGGGGGTCAGCTTGGCCGCCTCGTGGTGCAGCAGCGCACGCAGGATGTCCCGAACATGGTTCAGGCCCAGTGCTCGCTCCATCGTCGTCAGCTGCTGGTTTGCGTCTGCCAGCTGCAGGCAGGCAGGTAGGCAGTGAGTGCGATAGGCGTGCCTGAGTGGGTGTGTGCATGTGGGTGAGGGTGTACCTGCAGCATTGTCTCCTTCATTCGCTCTTCGGAAGCCCTCAGCTGGAAACATAAACAGCAGATTAATTAGATTGTGGAGGGAGTGGAGTCGGTGACAGTCGAAAACCTAAGACCGTGTACCTACCTGTTCCTCGGTCTCCTTTTGTGTGGGCTGGGCATTCCGCCTGTTGTCGAGAATCTCGCGCAAAGCCGACACCTGACCACACACACCATACCCCACCCGACGAGCCGTTGACTCCGATTACTCCCCTCTCCCCTGTTCCTCCCCCGCCGACATCCATGAGTGAGTGAGTGAGTGAGTGATTGACTGCCTGGCTTTGGTCCACTGCCTGCCTGCCTGCCTGCCTGCCTGGCCGCCTGGCTCACCCACCCACCCACCCACCCTCATGTCAGCTGTCTCCTTATCTCTCCTCAGCGTCGAGGCCTCATCACGATACGACCACACCTGATATATGCGAATCAAATAGAAGAGGGCAAGGGCCTCGTGGGTGGTTGGTGTGGTGTGGGTTGGTGTGGTGTGGTGTGACCGACCTCGACTTCCCTCTTTCTGCACTCCTTCTTCAGTGAAAGCAGGTCCTTCTCGGCGGACGCAAGCTGCGCACACAGACAGACAGACAGACAGACAGCAGAAATGACACGAGAGAGGCAGGCAAATCTCTCGCAGTCACACACACCCACCTGGTTCTGGAGCATCTCCATGGGTGACTGCTCTGGCGGCGCGCCAGATGATAAGCTCCGCCGCGGGTCGCCGTCCGAGTGGAAGAATATCGTCTGCAGCCGATTGACACACACACACACACACAAAATTCCAGAAGGCACCACGACAGACACCACGCCCGAGTTCCGCTCAGGGCCTGCTGCTTGCCACGTACCTCAAGTGAGATGATGATGCCGTATCCCACGAGCCAGAAGAAGAGGGTGAGGACAATCTCACGGACGGGCCACCTGAGGCGGCCCAGCAGCCCCTCGAGAGTCGAGTGCCGCCGACGGGGACTCCGGAAGTCCTTATATGGAAGATACATAGGGAGGGCAGACACACGATGTTGTTCTTTACCACCGGGTGCCGCTCTTCGGTGGCCCTTGTGTCCCGCCGCGTCTATTAATTCTGTCCGTGTCCTGAAATTATGGCCGCTTGGACGAGTACATCTGGCCATTCTCAAGGAAAAGGTCTCGTCAGCGTAGAATCTTCATTATCTGTGTTGTTCTAGCGGAGTCATCCATTCAGTTCCTCTCTGTCCCGACGCATGAAGGGTGGTGTTGTCGAGACGGCCGCAACGCGGGATCTTCTTACTGAAGTGTTGTATCGTGATGCACTGTGACTTGCCTTGCAGTGTACAATCGGCAGGGCTTCACGGGAGTCAATGCACACGAAACCAGCCCCGTCTCATCCTACAGCGCACTTACTGTAGGTTCTGCTAACGCCCCGTCTCTCACGCCATCAGCGCAGCCTCACCCCTCTCAATTCACCCACCCCCAGTGACCCAACCAACCCTCCATATCCCCCAGTGCCCTCTCCAGCTCTCCTACACAGTGGTGAAAGCGCTACGCCATGCCGTGGCACATTACGTCTGTGCGTACGGAGATACGAAGGCTTGTCATCGCCCACGTCTACGCAGCTCACGCTCTCTCTGTGCAGCCCTCTAGGATCTTGGTACGACGAAGGATACGAACATTTGCGAACATCAAACCTCTGACTGAGAAACGCTCTCACCAAGTCATTCCACCTGCCCGCCTCTCTGCATGCCTCTCTCACACGTGACGAAATGCGAAATGGGGACTCCGTCTCATTGAGACGATCCCGTTGTCACTCTCCAGAATTTCGGGACACAGCTCTCCCTCCCTCTCTATATCGCTGTCTCTCTCTCTCTCTCTCTCTCTCTCTCTGTCTCTCTCTCTCTCTCTGCTGCTGTTCCAATGCTCTGTCGAAAACTGCATGACTCGAGAGAATCGCGTGCATGTATTCCAGGCCAGGCAAGGGAGTTGCATGAATGAATTGATAGCCGAAGGACTCGGAACTCAGCCAGTGATGCCCAAGTGGTCCAGAATCTTCTGGCCGTCTGAGCACGGCACACACAGCACAGACAAGGCCACACAGACAATGAGCCCGTGGAGACGACTTCTCTCCCTGAGCGTGTTCCCTGCTCACCGACGAGCTCCTGGGCAACGATACCGGCAACGGCGATCATGGCCAGGCGGCCGTTGTTGAGCTCCTTGGCGCGTAACTCATCGAAGGCAGCCGGGTCAGATGGCGTGAGGTTGAAGGGGTCGAAGCCGAGGTCGCCCGCCTCGTAGTCCTCCCTCAGAGCGAACAGTTTGTTAGTCCACGGGGAGGCCCACCCCTTGCCGATGCTGCGCACCAACACCAATACACACAGGTAGGACACGGACGGAGACGCAATGCAGAGAGATGAGATGCTGCCTCGGTGGATGTGTGTGGGTGGCTGGGTCGAGCTCACCTGGCGGCCTCAATGCCGAAGATGCCCGCCACGATGATGGCCCAGAACGGGAAGGGCACCTGCTGGAAATGATCTGCACACACATGGACATCACATAGTGACAGTGAGCACAGGAAGGCTGGCTGCTGTGAGGGTCCTCGTTGCTGCCACATACTGATAGCGGGTCCAGTGATCTTGCCGTCGAAGAGCGGGTTGAAGTTCTCCTGCACGAGAATGCCGAGGGCGGCGAGCATGCAGAGACGGCCGTGCTTCAGCTCGGACTCACGCCAGCGCTTGATCTGCACGTGGAGGACAACCACACCCACACACACGCAGCAGACAGACAGGTACACCGAGTAATCCCCTCCCTCGGCTTGGCAGTGCGTCTTTCGATGCCCACCTCATTCTCATCGACATCGGGGCCGTTAGCCAGCCCGAGGGGGTCGAAGCCACGGGGAAAGGGAGCCACCGCCCCATTGAGGTCTGAGATGTCGACAGCCATGCGGGGGATACTGCTCTGACGAAACCGGCGGAGCGGGGCCGGCAGGGCGGCGGGAGAGGACACGAACGCCTCCTCTGCCATGACGCTGCTGAGGGCAACGAGGGCGAGGGCTGCTGCGAACTTCATCATGGCAGATCTGACGCGGGAGCTTGTGCAGATAGCTGAAGCTGACAGGAGAGAGATAGTACGTGGGAGATGGAAGAGACCAGATCGAGCAGGGGATGAGAGACAGGGAGTCGCTGTTCTGGCGGTCACGATCAGCGCTGGACGGTGGGGAGTTAGGCAGACGTGAAACAGTGTGCGAGCTAAGGTCTGCGAACGAAAGGTTGAGGAGGATGGGGCTATGAACTCATTCATTGTGGAGGGCTCATCGATGAGTTCCATAGCCCGACCTTACCTGGATCTGTTGTATTACTGCATCCTCCGGGACCAGCAGAAGGAGGACTACGCTCCCGTGGCGGCCTCATGGCAGACCAACTACCCGCCCGGCTCCATACACATCGCCATCGCGGCGGGAGCCAACACGCGAGCCCTCCACGAGTACTTCCTCCGCTCGAAAAGCATCACTGATTCAACTACGACAACAGCAGCAGCGACCGCACCAGCGGATGGGTCTGGTGGAGAGGAGAGGAGGTATTGTGCGTCCGTGGCTATTGTCACGTTCAAGACCTTCTTCCTGCCGAAGCCGAGGCGGCGGAGCGTCCCCACACGCCCTTCCGTCGAGTCACAAGGACTGCCACAGCCAGAGGAGAGTGAGGAACCTGCCGCAGTGGGCGTGAGCGCCACTCAGGTCGGCTCTCTCACCTCCAGCCCTCCCTCTTCCCTTGATGCGACCGCCCACGACGACGACAAGGACGCCGCTTCTCTCGGCGACTCGTCCGCCCCGCCCCCGCCCGGCCTTACCAGCCACCTGCACCGCTACTGGCAGCAACGCTACTCTCTCTTCTCGCGTTTCGATGAGGGCATCCAGATGGACGAGTCGGCCTGGTATGAGGTGACCCCCGAGCGGACGGCCTCCCGCATCGCCAAGCAGCTGCAGGCCAGCGGCTGCCGCACTGTGGTGGATGCCTGCTGCGGCATCGGCGGCAACACCATCCAGCTGGCCATGCACTGCGACAAGGTCGTGGGCGTGGACCTGGCTGCCGCCAAGGTCGACATGGGCAGGCACAATGTGGGGGTGTACGGTGTCAGCGATCGGGCTGAGTTTGTGGTGGCGCGGTTTGAGGAGTGGGCGGCTGATGCGGCGGGGAGGGGGGAGAGCTTCGATGCGGTGTTCTTGTCGCCGCCCTGGGGTGGGCCGGTGTACAAGCAGAGGGCCTGGTGGTCCATCAAGGCCGTCTTCGAGCCGGACATCGTGCAACTCTTCTCAGCCGCATGCAGGTGCGGAACAACAGACAGATCTCGCCGATGAATGTGGACGGCAAAACTGCTCACGTGTGTGTTTGTGTGTGTGTGTGTGTGTGTCAACTGCTGCACAGGTTGGCGAGCAGCACGGTGGTTCTGTATCTGCCGAGTCAGCAGGACGTGAGCGAGCTGGTGGTGCTCGCCGGCACCCATGGCTTCGCCATCGTCGAGATCGAACGCGTGTGCCTCGCCTCACACAAAGACCAAAAGGTCAGTGACGGACGGCTATGCTATGCTCGCTCATGTCACACACCCACAACACGACACCACGCCATGGGACGCACCACCCAACCACGCCGTCCGTCCGTCCTTCGTGTCCGCGTGTGTCATGTTATGTTGGCATTGCAGGCCACCATAGCCTACTTCAGCAAGGACCTCACCCAGACCCTGCAGCGGCTCTACCCCAAGCCAACAGCCACCAGGACACATTACAGCGCATCCAAGGGACTCACATCAACCGCACGCCAGCCACAGCCAACACAGCCACCCGACAACAGGCGGCTCCCGGAGAGGCCTGGTGCCGCCCACCATGATGATGCCGGGGCGACCCAGCCGACCACACAGACACCTGCACCACATGACGGACCCCCTTCTCGCCCCGCCGACCACCCAGATGAGGTCAATGGCCCGTCGACATCCGCACCAGCTGTGGTGACGCCGACGGCCCCATCTGATGAGAAGCGGAGGGCGTTTTTGTCCAACGTGGCCAAGGCCATCTGTGTGTGGCTGCACGAGAAGGTCGAGGAGCAGGCGGATGCCCTCGAGTTCATCCTCACCGAGATAGGGGTGGGGGCCGCCATGCGCCTGCTCGCACAGACAGAGGAGATCGAACTCAATGCCGGTGGTGCGTATGGATTGCTGCACACTCTCTCTCACAGTCACACTCACACACAGCGTGATGTGATGTGGCTTGGCTTGGCTTGCTTTGGTGTGCGATCGATCGATCAGGTATGCACCGTGTGGACGACCCAACGCGCGCACGCACTCGGGGTGGTGTGTTCTTCAATGTGTTCAAGACTGCCCACCACGAGGCCTACAAGAAGCTCAACGTCATGCGCAAGAAAGAGCAAATGAGAAGGAAGGAGCAGAGAGAGCAGAGGGCTGGTGGGGGTGCTAGTGGAAGTGACCGAGGGAATCGGGGTAGGGGTAGGGGAGACAACAAGAGGGCATGAAATTACCTATCGTCCGACCTGGCTGCATGGCATGGCATGGGATGGGATGGGATGGCTGGTGGTTGCGAAGGAAGATGCGCCGGCGTGGCTTGGCTTGGTTGAGGGAGGAAGGTGTTTCGCAGTTATATTGGCCATCATGACATGATCAGTGCAGTGCACACATTCCATGGACATCCATGATACTCATGACACGAAAAACAGAGGCTCGTGTACGACCCTCCTCTCCGTCTGTCTGTCTGTCTGTCTGTCCGTGTGTATGTACATCCATCCATCCATCGTCAACTCGACTGACTGCAAATTGCAAACTCGCTCTCACATGTCCCTCTCTCCCCCCCGCCCCAGCCACTCAGTCATGCACTGCACGGCGCGTCATGTCTGTCTGTCTGTCTGTAACCGTGGCCGTCAGTCACGTCCGACTGCCGCTGCCGCTGCCGCCTAAGAAGGGATGCTCTTGCAAGTCTCTCGCGTTCCAATACACCCGCTCCCTCTCTGTCACTTCCCCCTTCCCGCCGTCTCCTGAGATCTCCCTCTCTCCCCCCCTCTGCTGCGTGTCCTTGACCTGCTGCTGGAACAGCTGGGGCGCCTTGTAGAGCCTGCTCAGAAAGTCCCATCCCGCCATGTCGTTCTGGTCCAGAAACTTGACCACATCGGCGAAGGGCTCGTCGTTGAGCCAGTAGTCCCGAAGCCCACTCATGTCGCCGTCAAACACCTCCTCTACCAGACGCCTGCACACACACACACACGCACACAACCATCCGTGTGTGCGTAAGTACTTTTCCCTTCGGGTCTCGCTCTCTCTCTCCTCCCTCCCTCCCTGTCCAGTCCACCTGACAGCCAAGAAGCTCCGTGGGCTCGTCTGCCTGAAGCCCCCAGGCGTGAGCTCCATCCGCTTGTTGCCCGTGTCGCTGCCGCCCTTCCCCTGGCCCCTCTTGGCCGCGGCCTCATCGTACAGGTTGGCCACGATGAAGTAGAGGAACGTTACACACGAGCTCTTGAGGTCCTCGGCCTTGAGATAGTCCAGGATGGCGGCGGGCGTCACCGCCCCAACCTTCATGGCGCGACGCACCGAGTCGTCATCGTCGCTGCGCGCCAGCCGCTGCAGAGTGGTCGCGAAGCCGAAGTCCTGAATCAGCACCTTCACGTTGAGCGGCTCTCTCTCGTTGGCATCCTGCAGGACGAAGCTGCCGGGGGATATGGAGCGGTGGACGATCCTGAGTTGGTGGAGGTAGTCGATGGCCTCGAGCGCCCTCCTGATGGCCATCTTGAGGAATCTGCTCTTCCTCTTGAGCCGAAAGCCGGGCACCACCCCATCCAGGACGTCGTCCCTCTCCCCCCTCCCGAGCCTGTCGTATGTGTCGAAGGTCAGGGGGCCGGGCCACTGCAGGACCGTCCAGATGTTGCCTGGCCTCGGTGGGGGCACGTTCCTGAAGGCCACCTGCCGCTTCCACTGCTCCTGGAACTCGTTCGTACCGAGATATGGGTCGGCCTCAACCCGACCCAGCCCAGGCACTACCGGCGGGAAGCTCACGGCCTTCTCAGACAGACCTTTCCGCGCGTTGTAGTCCTCGATGATCTCACCATAGATGTCTAGCTCGGTTTCTGCGAGGTGTCTGGCGTCGGTGGCGTACTCCTTGAGCAGGACGGGGTAGCCGGGGAGGCCGGTGGGTATGAGCCGCGCCTGGAAGAGGCGCACCATGGCGCTACTCTCGTCGGTGGTCTGCCGGGGGGACCGCGGGTCAAACGGGTTGGGCGACACCTTCTCACCGGTCGTCTCATCGTAGTAGGCCCAGTCCTGGAGGAGAGGAGCAAGGACAGCGCAGACAGAACCCACCATCCATCCACTCAACACGCACCGTCCCCGGTGGGTGGCATGATTTGATTTGGCAGATCAGATCTCTCACCCGGATGGTTATCACCCCAACCGCACCAAGGTACCGGTCCAGCAGGAAGTCAGACGACCTGCAGACAGACACACACAGACAGACACACAGACCTGCACACACGTACGAACCAATCAATCACACCAATTACTTGAATGAGTTGGTGGATGAGGGGTACGCCGCCCGCCTCTCCACATCTGAGAAGACCATCCGCAGGGCGCCGCCGCACCTGAGCCTCGGCGGCGTGATGTAAGAGAGGCTGTTGGTGGTGGTGGGCAGCAGCGGCCTCTGCGGCGGGCTGAGGAAGGCCACGCATAACGCGTACACAGCCGCTGACGCGTGCATCTCATCTATATCGTCATCTCATCTATATCCCCTAGGCTCTTTTTTCCTCTTTTTTTCATTCAGCGGTTTCAGGGAGCACCCTAGGCGGCCTGAGGCCAGGTCCCATGTCTTGATCAAACGAACGACACGCAACAGGAATCACCCACGCACGCTCCGCATGCACATGCAAGGGTCTTTTTTCCTCGGTCTGCAAGCTTAGCTTTTTGGCTTGCTGTGAGACCATAGACCGAGGATCTCCCATTGTGGCTCGCCATTCGCTCATCAAAGGTCGGCTGGATGGACCATACATAGGTGTAATGACCCACCACCGACCCTCATCTCGTGGCCCGCCTGGCCAGGAACACAGGAAGGTTCTCTGCAGTGATGCAGTGATTCACTGAATGTATTGCATTTGTACATGATTGATTTGCTTGATGATTGATTTGCTTGACTGACAAGCACACACTCGTGTGACTCGACTGGCGCCGCGTCACTGCAGAATGGCAAGGTAGGCGCCACCTACATCCATTGCCCGGTACATAGGTACTTCCCACCCTCCTGATCTATTGCAATTGCATATATATTGGCATGATCAGACAGACAATCTTGGGTGTATACAGCCGACCATGCCACACCACGTCAGTCACAGCCTGCCTGCCTGATAAACTCACTCCTCCGAGCAGCACACTTCCTGCCGCCTGCCTGTCTGTTCTGTCCGGCCATTCCTTCCTTCTTGCACCGTCAGTCAGTCAGCTAGAAGACAACCTTGTCCTGAGGATCGATCCAGTTGATGACCTTCCTGCGGCCCTCTTGCTTGACCGTCACGTCCACGTCAACTCGCTTCGGGATGGGATCGCTGAGAGAGAATGCAAGTAGGTAAGCAGTCACATAAGCACACACAGCCGAGCCGTGGTGTGCTGTGCTGTCTGTGTGTTGCTTACAGTTTGGAACTTTTGGGGAAGGCTGACATCATCTCGACCTCCACGTTTTGGCGCTTGAGCCAGTCGATGCTGCCCTTGAAGCCTGCACACACACACACATACATACACACATATGCGCATGACACACATCAACAATGCAATGCACTGCACACACATCGAGAGTGGTTGGGTGCGATGCATGGTATAGTGGTGATGTGATGCCTACCTTTCCACTCTTCGCTTTCCTCTTCCTCGATCTCCTCATTGCCCACCTGATCCCAACCTGTTCACACACACACACACACACGGACACACACCATCGCACGATGTCACATTCCGTCCAGTAAAAACCTACCCAGTCGTTTGAAGAACATGTCTTCTTTGGCGCGCATAGCCGCCTCGGCGCGGGAAATGCGCTGCATGAAATGAGGGGCTAGCCTGACCGACCGACCAGCCACACAGATGAAGGCCGAAAGATGGATCTATTCGCCGATGGCTGTTCGTTCGTCTGCCTGTTTGTCTGTCTGCGGCTGGCTCTGTGTGTGTATCTCACTGACCCCGAGGAGACCATCCAGTGCCGTGTCGAGAACTCCTCATACACTTTCTCGACAGTCTCCTCCTTCAGCCTACACCAACAAACGTCCGCAGGCAGTTGCACATGAGGCTCGACTGCGTGAGGCTTTTCATCCCCCTCTTGGCCCGTCACATACCCGTATCGCTCGCCAATCTTGGCCATTGAGAACCGCCTCGGGTCGAGGGTGTGCAGGAAGAAAATGTACTCGCGGAGAAAAGGATCCAGCCGCCTGATCAGATCAGATCACGGGGGGACCAACCGCCGATAGATAGATCCATAACAGCTGGCTGGCTGTCCCTAGCTAGACTCACTCATTTACCTGTGTGTGGGCAGTTGGAGAGGGAAAACGCGCGGTAGCAGGCGGTCGAGGCCAGTGTCCTGGCGGCCGAGTGGGGACGACAGACAGACACACAGACAGACAGACACACACACAGACAGACAGACAGACAGGGTGCTTCTGTGTGGTGTGGGACTGTGTGGGTGAATGGCATGCAACGTAGGCACCTTCCAGTATCGGTAGTTCTCGTCTGTGTCGAGCGTTGGGAAGCGATTGCCGGCGAAGTCCGTGTACGTCAGCGGCCGGTGCGTGTCCAAACGATTCGTCACAGACCTTGCAGACCTGCCATGAATGACGCACAACACACACGCACACACACATGCAACATGCAGGCAGGGATGGAATGCCGCCAGCTGTCGATGCAGATATATGCACAGACACGGCGCGTCCTCACTCACCCCGGTGCTCCTGGGTCCTCAGTGATCTTGAATTTGTACGGCACCTGCACAATTCATTCAGCAGAAACAGATGCCATTCGATCTGCCCGTCAGCCAGCCAGCCAGCCAGCCAGTGACTCTGCATACCTACCTCATAGCCCGGGTCAGCACGCCTCTTGCTCTCTCTGTAGAGGTCGGCAAACTGCGGCGGGCTGCCCGACCACGACGAACCGGCCACACCAACAGCCTCGTATCTGAAAAAATGAATAAACGAAACACACACAACAGCTTATGATGCGACGGCACGTTCCCCCCTCCCCGCCTCCTTTGTTCTCGCACGCACGTGAATGGCGCATCTGTGGCCTCCTGCGCCTGACGCACGAGTGCCGCCTGAAGCTTCTTCCCCCTCGGCTTGGCTTGTGAAGCGCCGCGAGTCTGCTCGTCAGCCGCACCACCGCCAGCCTCCTTGCGACCACCCTTCTTGCCCTCTGCCGCCACCGGGCCGCTCGTCCGCTCACGGAACACATCACGCTTCTCCTTGCGCGAGGGAGAGGGCTGCTCTTGGTCCGGCGAGACCGTTCTCTTCTTGGCGAAGCATCGTGAGGGAGGCGGCACGGGAGTCGGGCAGCCCAAGATCTTCGACGGATGCAGAAGGACGGCTCGCCCGGTTCGTCCAGGTGATGACAACATATCGCTCTGGTCGATCCAAGAGTGTGTTTACAATGAGATCGGGCGGGATGATGCAATGGCGTTTCCATGTGTTGGCCGCCTTCGCCATCGCTGCACCATGCCAGAGCAAAACGCTTCTTGGACTAGCCTCGGGCAAGGAGGTGTACACCATTGGCAACTTCTGCTTTACTATCGGCGCCGATGGGCAGACGGGCGTCATGACCGCCCAGAATGTACATACATGCGTACATAAGTGGCCAGATGGATGGATGGATGGAACACATACGGACTCTACGCAGGTGTCTGTGTGTGTGTGTGTGTGTGTGTGTGTGTGCAGGTTGTGCATTCGCCGGGTCACACGCTGCTGCTGATGAGTGTCAATGCAAGTGACCCGGGCCTGCAGTACGCCACCTGTCAGGTGAGCAGCCAAACAAACGGGGGGAGAAGAGAAGGCCCTTTTGTGCATGTGGCTGCTGTGTCGATCTGTGGACTGCAGATGTTGGTCAAGAGGGCGAGGTATGTGGAGCCGCTGATTGAGAGCCGTGACGTCACCGCATACCAACTGACACTCACCATCGACCGGTCCATGAACAGACGATGCCTCGATGCCCTCGTGAGTAAGCTGCACGCCACGCCGAGAGGGAGAGAGAGAAAGAGAGCGGCTGTTTGGTGCGCAGGTTGTTCGTTGTGGCGGCAAGACCGATGTGGGATATATGGTCAAATTCGCAAACCCTGGCGGAATGCTGGTCCGACACTTCTCGCAAGAAGACCAAGGTACATACGTTTCTCTCTATGCGGTGTGTGTGCGGTGACCCCTTAATTCCTGCGGTGTGTCGCGTTGCGGGTGTGTTGTGATGTATGGGTGGACCGCAGGCATCCTCGAGCTGTACATCTTGTTTGCAATCGTGTGTGTGTGCACGGCGCCGGCATTCCTGCGGGCTTACAGGGCGCTGGAAAGACAGGAGAGACACACTGAGGGTAGGTATGTGCCAACCGCAGGCAGACAGACAGGGGAAATCTCATGACTCGTGTGGCGATTACATGTGTGTGTATGTGTGTGTGTGTGTGTGTGCAGTGACGTCGAGTTTCTTTCTGTCGTCGATTCTCTTCCTCGCCCACATCGTATTCCACCTCACACACCTACTCGATCTACTCCTCGGTTAGTCAGTCAGTCAGAAAGTGGCCGCCAAACCACACTCACTCCACTCGCATGACTGAGGTTGTCTGGCGTGTGCAGGACGGGTCTGGTCTGGGCGTCTCCTCGTTCCTCTCTCAGCTCTCGGGCGTCCTGTCTGAGCTCCTCATAGCCATCCTCGTTCTCCTCCTCTCAAGAGGTACTTACTGAATCCATCATCCCTTCACTCACTGCCCGTGTCTCTCTCTCTCACCCATCCCATCCACTGCCCGCGCCGTGCCGTGCATCTGTGTGGTGTGGCCGACAGGTGTGACCGTGTCGGTGCCGTCCGTGTCGTCTCTGAAGCAGGAGGAGCAGTCGCCCCTCTTGGCGCTCGTCGGCCTCATGTGTGCGACCAGCCTCCTGTACGCCCTGCAGGAGGGCACACAGATGACGGACCTCACGCCCTTCTCACAGCTCCGCACCCACATCGCCACACCAATCCTGCTTTGCCGAGCTTTCGCTGCAGGTACACAGGCCCATACGTATGGGAGCCTTGCTGTCCATAAGTTTGCCTGTTAACGCGTTTGTGTGTTGGTATTATTGTGCCTCATGATGTGTCGGCAGGTGCTTTGTGTCAGTGGGGCACGATGTCGTTCCGGCGCGAGAGGGATCTGGCCAAGAGGAAGTTCTACATCAGATTGTGTGCCATCTACTCGTCATGGCTCGCCGCACTGCCACTGCTGGTAAGCCATACCCCCGAGACACAGAGAGAGACACAGAGAGACAGACATGAGGCAGGCAGAGGTGCATGGCACATTGGCAATATATTGCACACAAGCGCACCGTACGCCACTTGGTGTGTCATTGTTCGTTCCCTCAGGTGCTGACCGAGAAGCCGACGTCGGGCAAGTAAGCAACCAGGCAGGCAGACCACCCATTCGTTCATAGGGAGTTGGTGCCTGCAGGCACCTCGACATCTTCGTGGCCACCTGCATTCACTACGGTGCGTTGTGTGCGCTGCTGCACGACTTCTGGCCCACGCGCTTCGGGGCGGTCTTCAACTGTGCCTTGAGTGGTGGGAAGGGCAGCGGCAGCACACAGAGACACCCTTACAGAGACCTCGCGTGACGTGATGGATCGAGGAGTGCATGGGATGGGTGAGCGGATGGATGGATGGATGACCACACTTAATCTCTGCATGGCGTCCACACAAGTCCATGTGCCCACAACCACATCAACCAACCGACAGGCACGCCACCTGCCTGAGCTGAGCGTGTGCGGTCGATGCGTCCCTTTCAGCTATGCACAACAGACAGGGGAACCGGAGACCACCACATCAGACAGATAAGCAGACAGACAGACAGGCAGGCTGAGCCATCTGTACAACTTGACGCAGCCGGCCAGCAAAGCAACGCACCGCAACCCCACTCCCCCCTAATCAATTAGCCAGTCCCCCACCCCTGAGAGCACGCCTCTGCTGGCAGTGCTGTGCTGTGGTGTTCTCTGTCCAACATACATACACAAACATACACACCACACACACAGACACACATGACATGCAGAGCGGCCATACCATACCCACACTAATTACAGACACGTGCCGTGCGAAGAAACACTCGATGTCCGTCCGTCTGTCTGTCTGTCTCCAAAACCTCTCCCAACTCCCAATGAGCCAGTAGAGGCAGATCGGTCGCCCCGCCCCAACCAAACCAAACCAGTACCTACCGGCCGCCAGTAGGCAGGGAGACAGGTGGCCCACCAGGCATTAGCGCGACCAGCATCTATCTGTCCGTGACAGGTCACAGCTCACATCAGGCCACGTCAGGTCATCCTTCTTGGCTGAGCGGAGTGCGCCTGGCTGCCTGTGTGTCTGCCTGCCTGCCTGTGTGTCTGTCTTTCTTTCTTTCTGTCTATCAGGTTGTAAGTCATAGGTAGGTAGCTAGCTATACACAAAACACACATAAATACCCTCACTCACACGCACACTCACACACGCACACACACATGCACATCAATGAGCGGCGCACACGTCGCCGCGAACGGCCAGGCATCAACGCACCAACGCACCGGTGGCACTTCGATTGGCGAGTCACTCACTCAACTCAACGGTCCCTCTCTCTCTCTCTCTCTGTCTGTCGGTCTGTCCAGCCGGCCACGAACAAGACGCTCACGACACATATGCAGCACGGCACGGCACAGCCCGCAGCCCGCGAGACAGCAGCAAGGAAGCAACGGAGCAAGTGTGTGTACGCGAAGTAGGTCATTGTCGGCCACGCACCCACCCAACACCGCCCCCCACCCCCCCACACCGCACCACGGAGAGCGATCGACTCCACACAGGCAGCAGGAGGCAGTGCCAGCAGAGCAAGTCGAGCAAAACAGGCAAGCCAGAAGGGGAAGGAGCCAACCAGACCAACAGCTGTAGTACGATCGATAACACCAACGGGTGAATGGATGGATGGTGAGTGGATGGATGGATGAGATGGGTGAGTGAGTGAGCCGATCAAGCAGTCGAGCAGGCAGTCAGACAGACAGGATGCGGCATGGATGGGTCATGGAATGGGGTGGGATGGGGTGGGGGGCGGGTGGGGATCGACCTGCCCGGCCGCATTCATTGTATGTCTGTCTGTCTGTCTAGAGTTCGATGAGCAGTTCGCTGCCGTTGTGTTTGGCCGCGGCCGCCTCGTTGGCCTTGGCGAGATCGAACTTGATGTCCGCGTTCTTGGAGAGAAAGTCACTGCCGTAGCCCACTACATCCTGCAATCAAATCAATATGTTCACACGCACACATACACACCCAGGACTGATAGGTGCGGTGCATCTCTCCCTGTATGTGTGTGTGGTGTGCTGACGTACGTACCGGCCTTGAGTGTTCGAACACTCGTGGAGTGTCCTTATCGTTGGCCGGGAAGAGCCGCACATACGGCACTCGATCCACCTTGACGCCCTTGTGCACAACGTCTGACGGACGAGGGCACATCCACACACACAGGCACACACACAGGACAGGCAGCCGTAGGACCTGTGTGTGTGTGTTGCGGCCGCCCTCCCCTGCCCTCACCGTTCTTGGTGATATCGATTTTGTAGAATATGAGCGATTCCACATTGCGATGTTTGTCGGCCAGCTCGCTGAAACGCGGCTCGAAACGCTTGCAGTGGCCGCACCTGCACAAACACACACACACAGACACAGACACAGACACAGATACAGACATGCAGACAGCCAGGCTTTCCCCACCCACCCACCCACCCACCCACCACTGCGTGCCGCGCACTCCCTCACCATGGGGCATAGAAGAAGACGGCAACGTCCTTTTTGGCTTTGATGACTTTCTGCTCGAAGTGCGCCCCGACGAGCGGCTTGAGCGCCCCGCCCCCCTCGTCCTCATAAGGCTCCTCGCTCCGCAGCCACGGCGTCAGCTTCCCGTCGAAGTAGCTCTTCTCATACCGCTCTAGCGCCTTGTTGCTGCACACGGGGTTGCCGCCCCCGCCCGAGATGATGCTCCCACCCTTGGCGGAGTCGGCCGTCAGGCGGTACTTCTTGAAGCCGTTGTTGACCTCGACAATGACAGCGAATGGGGCGTCGTTCTCGGGGTCGTCTCCCAGGAAGAACTGAAAGGGCTGGATGAACTCGACGGGCACGGCGACGTGGAGGATGTCGCGCTTCTTGTGGATGTTGGCTGCGTGCTGCAGGGCCTGGTAGCAGCCCTCCCAGTGGGAGGCCTGGCCCTTGTCGGCAAAGAGCAGCATGAGGGTCTTGATGCGGTGCCGCTTGATCATGTCCTCGGTGCTCGGGTTCCACTCGTAGAACTTGACTGACGAACGAAGCGACGCCTTGCCGCCCGACGCGTCCGTGCCGATAGAGTGCAGCTCAGAGCTCGAGCTGTCGTCACACAGGGCCGGCAGGGTCAACACAACCAGCAGGAGGCCCAGGTTGAACGCCCACCCTGCTGCCCATTGAGGTATTCTCAAACCGACAGAAGGTTTCATATCTGCTGCGGATCGGATCGGGTCGGTCTTACGCTACATCTGCTGTCCACAAGGCCGGAGGGGAGAAGGCGAGCTCGGACATGGAGATGCGAGCTTAGCTCTGTTCAACCCCCGACAACTTGCTGACGGCGCCATGGCGGTGAATCAAAGTTGAAGACCTTCTCTTTGGCAAAGTTGATCAAGGGCTTTTTCTAAGCTCTCAACAATTGGCTCTCAATCATCGTCAATGGCAGCATCGACGGCAGCCTGAAGCGGCTGTGCTCTGCGCCTGCTCTTATTTTTGTTGATTTCTTTGCTGACGGGTGCTGAAGGCCACTCTGAGGAAGTGCGTCGAGATCAGTCAGCTTATGGACGGGCCAGAGCCCTGCACAAAGGACGTCAACTACAGCCCGCTGCTGGTGCTGGGTCTCCGCGCCCTCATCCTGACTGACGTGGTCCTCCACGCCACCCACCTCTGGGTGATACAGCACCCCACCTTGTATAACATCCTCCTCTGGGCGGTCATCCTCCTCACCGTCGTCATCTACCTCAGGGCATCACTCTGCGACCCGTAAGAGCTAAGCTTAGACTGCACCAGCCACTGGCTGAGCCGGTGGTGTGTGATGACTTACTGCATGCTGGCATGTACATTATCCTGTGGTCACTCTCTGCTGTCTTTTATATATTCCGTTCGTTCCCAGTGGGTATCTGCTGACGGCGGCCGAGCTAGCCCGGGCAGCAGACCGGCGAAAGCACGGCTGGCAGCTGATTGCCATGCGCAGCGGCAAGGCGGCGGCGACCCGGGACGCCCGGACGATAGGCAAGGCGACTGCCGGGCCCGGCTCGCCTCGGGCGGCTGCCGTGGATTCGACCTACAGCGGGTCTGACGAGTCGGCCGATGACGACATTGACGAGCAGGAGCTGGACGAGTGTGACGCTGACGGCAAGGACAAGGACCGTGAAGTCCCTAAGGAGACCCACCACGTGCCATCGGCTCTCTACCGCTACGCAGAAGACCCTGAGTCCTCTGTGAGGCAGGCCGTGAGAGGCGCGATTGTCTGCCGCAACGCTCTCACGGGCACGGCCACCGTCACGGCCACGGCCATGACCACCGCAGCGGTCAGTGCGGCGTCGGCAGTGGTCCACGCCGGCCAGCAGGCCTGTCACGAGATGAACGGCCATCATAGCCACCACCACCACCCCGCCCCACCCCTCCCCCACCCACACATCATCTCGCCATCAATGAGCAGCAGGGGGCGGGCCAGGGAGAGGGAGAGGGAGTCTGCGGCGGCAGCAGCCTCCATGGGCAGCGGCCGGGGGGTGGGGATGGGCCGGGGGTGTCAGGATAACGATGACGTGGAGATGGGGGAGTGCTGCGACCCCGCCGAGAGGCAGCCTATCAATGGTCGGGGAAGGGGTGAGGGCAAGGCTGGTGGCGGTGGGACGGGCGAGGGCAGGACCGATGCGGCCTACCAGTGTGGATTCAAGCTGAGGTTCTGCCCTACCTGTAAAGTCTACCAGGTGGACATCGATCATACCTACCGTGAACAATCGTACTCACTAGTGTGGACAGACACGTGTGTGTGTGTGTGTGTGTGTGGTGGGGTCATTCTATCCCCACCAGCCGTTGAGGACGAAGCATTGTCGTGATTGTGGCAAGTGCGTCCGCACACACGATCACCACTGCCCGTGGCTCGGTGGGCGACAGACAGACAGATAGACAGACAGACACAGGCTCACACTCACACACACCCAAGCAATGCGTGTGTGTGTGTTGGATGTCATGATGCAGGCACGTGTGTGGGCGAGTGCAATCGGGTGTGGTTTTTTTGGTACCTGTTCTTCCAGTCCGTCGAGCTGCTCTGGGTCATGGCAGAGGTACGTTGGGGACAGGACACGCAACAACTACACCGTGACACAGACAGACAGACAGACAGGGAGGGATGGCTGGGGGGCTTTCTGGCTGGCTGCAGACGGTGCGTGCGATGATGCAACGATCTGACGTCAGCGATTGGTGAGACACCCACACCCACAGAATTCCCCTCCCTCCCTAGGGCAGTGCATATGGGCGTGTCTGTCTGTCGGTCTGTCTGCATCTCAGGTTCTCGGCCAATGTGTGGTTATTGCTGGCCTTGGTCGTGATGGGGCTGTTCGGGCTTATGGTGATCACACACACAGACAGACAGACAGACAGGCCGCCATGGGTGGGGTGGACAGTAAGCTGTGTGTCTGACTGAGGTCAGGTTCTCTGCCTATTGTGCTATCATGGGTTCCTTGCTGTGGTGAGCACGCAGCACGGGACGGGCGAGGGGGGAGAAACGCCTGGATTGATTGCATCTCTGAATGGCCGTCTGTGTGTGGCCGGGCCGTGCCGTGCCGCGCGTGTCTTTCTTGCAGACTAATATGACGACGTGGGAGAACGTTGCCTGGAACAAAATTACATACCTCAAAGTAAGTGGGTACCAACCAGAGAGTTTGACACAAGACGCACAGCCCACCCCAGCCGAACCACTGATTTTCCTTGGCCGGTGCAGAACACATCGATGTCCAATGGCAGCCCCTTTTCGCGAAGCCTGCTCTACAACCTAGGTAGGTAACTAAAGCGACACCACCCAACGACACACACACACACACACACACGCACCCCTGCCTGCGTGCAGCTGTCTTCTGCTGCCCCGGGTCGTGCCCGCTGTTCCTGCGGCGGACCGCCTGTGTCTGCAACAGCGCCCAGTACGGCTGCAGCGGCGAGATACTCTGGGAGGCAGGTCGGTCAGCCCAGCCAGCCAGCCTCGATCCATTCACCAAACCGCTCATTTCAGTGCTTCTCGCTTGTGTGTGTGATTTGATCGATCAGGAAAGCAGCACGTGCCATGCCTGGTCAACAATCGCCTGTGGCAGTGTCTGGAAGACTGGTGACCATGCAAGGCAAGCAAAGCATCTCCCACGGCGATGTATGGGGTGGCTAGCTGGCGAAGTTTCGGGCACGGGCGGGTGGCCGTCTGTCTGTCTGTCTGTCTGTGTGGGAGGTCTAGAAAGGTAGAGCTGCTCACGCCAGATTGCAGGGGGCGGGGCAGGGCAGGGCGGAGATCGATCGATCGCAGCAGAGGTGTGGCGTCGGGGTGGCCTGGGGAACTTTTCGCGAGACAGACAGACAGACGCCCCAAGTGTGCGAGTGGTGTGAGGGGTGGGTGTGGGTGAATTACACAGACAGTGCAGCTGGGCTGGTCAGACTCTGAGGCGTGTTTGTTTGGCTTTCTACCCTTTTTCTGGCTCTCTCTGCTTGTGGTTGAGTGTTTATATGTGGGGGGGGGGGAGCCGAAATGGTGTTTTGTGTGTATACGCTGACTGACTGACTGACAGAACTTTTGCATGCGTCTTCCTCCTCAGTGTCCTCACATGCTTGCATCGTTACGTAACTGCATTGGGCATGACAAGGGCCTGGCGAGTCACACCCATGGGTCACACCAAGTCGAGACGTTTGCATGGGAGTCCCCGGTCTATGGTCTCGCAGCAAGCCACGAGCGAGGGTCCTTCACGGCTTCGGGTGCGCGCATGTTCGAAACGGGGCGAATGCGCAGCATGTCCCGATCCCTTTTCCTCCTTCACCTGCGAGCTCAGTGATGATTTTGGGGCCGAGCTAGGGGGAGATGTCGTCAAGGAACAGCCTTTGTCCTCTCTCGCTGGCCAGGGGGATAGCCCCCTTGAAGCCCTGTCAGGTGCACGGCGACAATGAGCCAGATCTCGATGTGATCAGCATCTCATCCAACCAGCAAGGGACTGACCCTATCGAAGAAGGCGACAGGCCAGCCGATGGCGACCACATCGTGCTCACACCTTCCCAGATCGGCCACCAGGACGACACACAGGCAGGAGACAGCACCGCGCAACCGCAAGACACCGCCGTTGTCTTTCATGCTGTCAAGCAGCCCTCCGGCCAGCCCAGCGGCACCCAAGATGACGAAGAAAACAGTGCTGGGCAGCCATCTTTCTATCGAACAGCACTCTCGTCGACGAGTACCGCCTTGACGCTGACAGACAAACTTGCCGCTGCGGAGAAGAATCATCAGCACAGTCAGCCGTGGACCAGAGACACGTGCTGCCGGGTCAGCCCCACAAGGCAGCCCCATAAGGACCGCATGAGTGATGACAGAGGGGATGCGGACGCAAATGTTGACACGAGAGAATCCTCTCGTCGTCAGTTGCGTCGTGAGGAGCGTGCGATAACGGAGTCGGTACGGGACTTCAGGTATAATACCGAATTGCCTCACAAATGAACGCCTCTCTGTTCTCCCTGCCTGTCCAGGGAGGCTGCAGGATACGAAGCGGCATACGAAGAATATAAGACAAGCCTCGTGTACAAGACGATAAGCCATCCTGACGGCAGCACAACAGAAGTACTTGTGGGCGCCCATTTCAGCCCAGAGCCGCTTAAGACGACCATCAAGCGAGTCCTTCGAGTTATTCTATGGCAGCTGGCGGCGGCCGTCGGCGTAAGCCTGTGTATTGTTGCACTGTTGCTAATCTGCGTCGATCCGTGCAAAGCGACGGGTGTCCTGGGGATCGCTTTTGACGTCGTGCGTCGAATTCTGGTTGCCTTCACCATGTTCCTGGTGTTTGTGCACGTCACCGATGGATGCAGCGGGAGGAGGATCGTGTCTCGGCTGTGGAGATCTCGGCTTATATTCGGTATTCCAATGATCGTGTCCATTCTCATTTCGGCCAATCACGCTCGCTGGGATGTCATGTGGAGGCGAAATTTGATCGCTCCGGTGTGGTGGTGCTGCCTTGTTGTTACCCCTTACGCATTCTTTTGGAGTTTTGCTCGAGCCAGCGGGATGAAGAGAAAACAGGATTACGCCCTGAAGCTTGCAAGTGTCTCCTGTCTCGCATTTCTGCAAGGCCAATTATATCTGCAATTCTTCTTGCCAGTTGGGGTGGCGCTGGACGATGATAATTAAGGACCCAGCTGGCGTTAATCTCTCTGATTGTCGGGTGGCCGCTCGTGTCTCTGGGTCGGTGTGTAAGTACAAAGACATCTCCCTACTCGTGTGCATGTGTTTTTCTGTGTCTGCATGTTGTCGGGCACACACAGCGAACAAACTCTTGCGGTCCATACGGGTGAGTTACGTTGACAGGTATATAGCGATAGAACTGAGCTGAATTCGTACGTGTCTTGTTGATATCAGGAGGGACCGCCAACGTACGGTGCTCCTCTGATTTCACTTGCGGTACTGCCCTACCTAATAGTCTCTCGACTCCTTCAAGTACAGTGAGATGCTTGTGTGCATGTCTAGTGTCTTCTTTATTGGCTGTTTCTCTTTCTCCCATTCGTCTCAGGCAAAAATGGTCAACTTCAGCAGCAAAGTCATCAACTCGATCTTCATTGTCGCGTAAGTGTTGATGCATCCATGTGACATGAGAGGGATAATGTCCTTCTTTTCTATTTTAATAGCTACGACCTTGTCACCGACCTATTTCTCCCTTACGGTACGCGCACCGGATGAAAAAGACGGGCATTCATAATCTCTCTACTCCGCTCTGCGTGTGCCATACAGGCATTTTGCTGTACTTGGGCAAGTCGCTGCACGAGGCAAATTTCGATCAGTTCACAACTGACAATGGAAGAATCCATGTGGCCGATGCAGGTTTCAAAAGGTTCGTACTCTATGGTCGCTGCACGAAGGCCCCTGACGAAGCCGGTGACAATGTGAGGACCGACATGACCGACACGATCAATCGTCAGAGCGAAACGGGGCTTTCATCTTTTCGACGGCAAAGCACTGTGACGACCGTGAGCTCATCGATAGGCTCCATCAACGAGAAGATAAGGCGCTCAGCATCGACTTTCAGGGACGTCGTCTCTGTCACCTCAGCGTATGTACCACGGCCACACGAAATGCCACCGGCTGACGCTGTGGCGAGGCTTGCTTTTCGCTTCAGATTCGCCTCGCTAGAGCTAACACCTCGGTACATTCGTCAGCTGACCGAGCAGATGCACGTGAGTTGACGATTAGCTTACCAGCAGAGGACCAGATTCTGGGCTCCATAGACAGCTGGCTGTGCATGTCCTACTGATGCACTGCTGCTGGAGGATACACACAGATGGACGACAACGTATCGTTGCCCCCTCTCTCTCTCTCTTCGTCCCTTCCTCTGCTCAGATGTATTCTCTAATGGAGAGCACTGTCCTCGTAGCCGCGAATTTCCTTGTAATGGTCGGCCGTCAAGTACTGCCAGCAGGTCCTTCTCTCAGCATCTTTCTAAACGATCTCGGCGCCTTGATGGTTTTGGTCTTGATAGAGGCAGCTGCCGAGGCATTTCTTTTTGTTGTAAGACAACATATCTATGCCGACCACCGATGCATATCTTGTCAATCTGTGCTCTTCTCGCCAGGTGATGATCAGGTGGCATAATTTGCCACTCACGCGATCAGAGGGAGAGAGGGGCGTACTGTGGAATCGCACACTTGTGTGCCTGTGGGCGAATATCCATGTGTGTCTGTCGATGTTGGTGTTTTTCTACATCTTTGTGACGAAGGTAGGCCTCTTTCAAGCCACGAGTAGGGGTGGGTAATTGTGTGGCGAATTCGTTGTGTCTCTTGTTTTGTTTGGCAGGTTGTTAATCCGGACAAGTGGGCCGGCGTCAATGTCGACCCCCATGATTTCTGCCCACATTTTTCTTTTGTGCGCGAGTGACAATACCACAGTAACTGAGTCTGATGTGTATCCTGCGAACAATTATGACTAGTCTTGAGTGTCTCGACGCGTTTGGATCGGAGGTAAGACGGTCGATGGCGGAAGACAGAAGGCGATGGATCCGGGCGGCCCTTGCTTATGATACGATTGCCTTTGATCGCGTGTCTTTTGAGGGTTTGCCTTGGGCCATTGATCCTTGGATCCTTGCGCCGTGTGTCTCATTAGCGTACGCTTTGCTCCTTTCATTCGCTGAGTCTCTTCAAGTTAAGTCTGCCGGGGCGCCCTTTTTGGCCCACACAGGCCCCCGCTCCCCCAGTCTCACTATGCGGAGCAGTATTCTGGCCTCGTCCAAGGGCACCGCGGCAGCGGCAGCCAGCGGGAAAGAGGGGGAGCGGCGGCCCTCATTCATAAGAGTGCCAAAACGCCTTGCAGCCGACCGATATGAACACCTGTCGTCGGAGCGGAAGAGGGCCGTGTTCATCAAGCAATGCGTGCACATCCTTCTCTTCATCATCTTCCTATTCACATTCTCCCTCAGTACGCACCAAAATGCAGACATTCCCGGCCTGCATGTGCTGTGTGTCTGTGCTGTGTGTCTGTGCGTGTTTGCAGTAATCATCCTGACGTCCAAGCCCACCCCATACTACTACGCACAGCACATCCAGAGTAGGCGGCCACCTGCAGACATGCAAACATTCTGTGTCGTCTAATGTGATGCAGAGTTGTTTTCTGAAACGGGCCCTGATGACATTGATGCCGCGGCCATCGCCAACGTATACGGCTCGGTGGGGAGCGCCGCCACGCCCCCCCTGCCCATCGCCTTGCACCAAGTGCAGTCGGCACATGACTTCTGGCAAGTCCGTCCACACAGTCAGATAGATCCGCTGTCTCGCCATGTGCGTGTCTCTTGTGTTGTGCTGCGTTGTGTGTGGCCGTGATGTCTGTGGCCGCTCCAGTACATGGAGGGTTCCTTCTTGTCGGTGCTGTATGCCAACACGACCGACAAGTCCATCGCCGCACAGATCAGCCAGCAGTCGCCTCCCGTATGGGTTGACAGGTACGCAGAGAAGCCGTGTGTACGTAACCTATCCACACACACGCGTATATGTATGTGTGCGCACGCAGGTCCAACAGCCTCCTGGGTGCCCTTCGCATCCGCCTCCTCCGAGTGCAGTCGGGCGCCAATTGCGAGGTGGGTTGGTGGCCGAGCAGGACGGAACGGCACAGCTGGACATCTTGGTTGTCTGTCAGGTGAGTGAGGTGTTTGAAGAGGAGCTCCGCGAGTGCTTCGGCAGCTACTCGAGAAGCGCTGAGGAGCGGGCGCCATACGGACCAAAAAACAGGTCAAACCAGTCAATGCACAGGCAGAGGTTGATGGTGTCTCCCTCTCTGTCTCACCTGCCGACTCGCCGTCATCGGTCAGGTTTCGGCACTGGGACCCGAGCAAGTGGCGAAGGGCGTGGAGGGGGCGGGTGGCCACCTACGGGCCGGGAGGCTATGTGGAATACCTCATCGGCAACGTGTCCGACACCATCGATCGGCTGCAGGCCATGCGGGTCGGTAAGGGTGAGGGTGAGGGTAGGGGTGAGAAAGACATAGCACAGCAAGCACACAACCATGCAAGAGACCGTGCGCATGTATGTGTCAGTCTGACGGGTACCTTGAAGCCGCTGCGCGTGCTGTGTTTGTGGAGACGGTCATCTACAACCCAAACATGGGTGGCTATCCACACGCGCAGAGAGAGACAGCCAGTTGGCCAAGTCGGCCGCATGGCACAAACGGTTCTTTCTCTGTGTGTGTCCCTTCCTCTCTCTCTCTCTGTCTGTGTGTGTGTGTATGCGTGTGTTGCTGTTCGTGTAGGTATGTACGTAACTCTCCGTATCGCCTTTGAGTTCCCGCCCAGCGGCTCATGTCAAGCACAGGCAGAGGCACTGCCACTCATGCCCAGGCAGGCGCACACTAAATACAGAGGTCCATCGCAGAGGATGACCATATGCGGTGTGCGTGGGCACATGTGTGTATAGGCATTTGCAGCTGTTTGGCAGCGGTTCTGCGGCTGACTGGTTCCCGACGATATTGGAGATAATCGTGTGCGTGTTCGTCTTTTACTACATCGCCGAGGAGGTCTCGGAACTCGCCATCTTCCATGCATCCTACTGGCGGTAGGTAGGTGTAGATAGGGAAGGCAAGGCCACATCAAGTCACCCCCCCACACACACCCTCACTTACGTGCTTCACATGAAAGGAGAGACGTAGCTTGTGCTGTCTGTCTGTCTCTCTCTCTGTCTGTCTGTCTACCAGTGATATTTGGAATTTGGTGGACTGGACAAACCTCATCCTCATCCTGGCCGTCTTCGTTCTCAGGATCGAGATATACGCCGCATATGGACGGGTGGGTTCTCTCGCTCTCTGTCTCTCTCTCTCCTTGCTTTCTTCCTCTCTTTTTCAACGACACATGTAGTGCATGTGTCTCGCTCTTGTTGTGGTCAGCTTGACGTCAAGTACGCCGATCTGGGCTATGACGCGTCTCGCAAGGATCTCGATGGGACCGGTGAGTTGGTGGACGGGTTCATGTGGCTGGCACGGCGCATCAAGGTGTCGCTGCTCATCAACGCCTTCAACGTCGTGCTCATCTGGTCAAAGGGCGTCAAGTACCTTGCTTTTATACCATTCGTCCGCATACTTGTCTTCACTGTCGGTCAGCCACCACAGTACCAGGGAGGGATGCGACATAGCACATGTACATGTCTGATATGAACGACCTGTCTCCATGTGTATCCCCCTTTGTCTCTCTCTCTCCCTCCCTCCCGTGTGTGTGTGTGTGTAGGTCAGTCGATATCGACGATTCTGTCGTTTAGCGTCTTGTTTCTGGTGCTGTACTTGGGCTTTTTGGAGGCGTTCAACCTCGCACTCTCTGACGAATTCCTCCAGTACGTGACCTGAGTCGACGGACACACACACCGAATTGTGCGTGGTGTGGTGTGTTGTTCAGGTTTGCCACGTTTGGCAATGCGCTGATCACTCTGGCAGAGACCTTCATCGGCCACTCGAAGCTGTCGGAACTGTAAGCATGACACCACATACACCGGTCCACGTCAAGTCACCGATTGCCTGTCTGTCTGTCTGCAGGTACGATTCCCACCCTGTGTTCGGTGCCTTTCTGGTGTTGATTTTCGTGGCCATCACGCAGTGGCTGCTCCTCAATCTCATCCTCGCCATCCTCGTACACGCCATCGCTGAGGCAAGCAAGTCATGGCTGGCTCATGCATCCATTCATTGAATGAGCATGTGCTTTGTGAGTTTGGTTGCCTGTGTGTGTGTGCCTTCGGTCTGTGTAGGCGCGTCAGGTGCTGCTGGATGTGAAGCCTGATTTCCGCTGGGTGTACACACTGGAGTACTGGGGCAAGTTCAAGCAATGGGCTGACAAAGGTACGTCCGCAGAATGAATGGAGAAAGGAATGCGTGTCTGAAAGGCGGATGGTTGTCATCCATTTCGGTGTGTCTGGCTGGCTGGCTGGCTGGCTGCATGCGTCTCTTGTTCGTTCAGTGTACAAGAACACTGTTGTGGCAATGTGCAAGCGTGTGGACCTGCGGAAGCTCTCACGCAGACTCACAGCCCTCACGCAAGGATGTGCGTGTTCATGCCGACACACATCACACCCACACACAAGCCCAACCTACAATGGCTATGTGTGCAGCCAAGGGCAAAGGCAAGGGCAGCGGCGGTTTGGCTGACATGGCGGCGGCCGCCATGAGGCACAAGGGCAAGGGCGAGGGCGACCTCGACAAGGACGCTGACCTTAGCAGAACCGAATCCATGAAAAGCACCACCAAGTCCAAAGAGGTCAGTCACATAGCCAGTCGGTCAATCACTGACTGCATCCATGACATCGCTCTTCATGTCCAGGCCGAGGCCTTGCCCGGCGCGCCAACCAAGCTGCCTCCCGCCCTTCCTCAGCACCAGATGCGCGGCACCAAGGCATCATACCGGTCAGTCAGCCGGGGAACAAGTATTGCCACACGGCCGAGCCATGTCTATGAATGCATGCACTGCAGCACAAAGGGGATTGAGGAAGAGGCCAAGGGCAAGGCGAGGAAGGGCGCCAAGGGTGCTGACGAGGCAGCAGAAGAGGAGGAGGGCGAGGAGGCCGAAGGCACCATATCTGTCGAAGAGGTCAGCCGCTGACCTGACCGAAGCGCACGCAACGCCCATCGTGTGATGCATAGACCCTTGCTTTCGTGTGTTGTGTTGTGTTGTGTTGTGTTGCAGCTGCAGCAGGCGTTGGAGATTGTCGCCGGCACCCTGCTCTCACAGCTAGAACGGTCAGTGAGTGCATGTCCGTACGGCCGTATCCTTCCTTCCGTGTCGGTCTGTCTGTCTGTATGTCCATGTGTGCATATATTCATCCATCCATCTGTGTGTGTGGACTGACTGCAGTATGGGCGATGAGGTTGCGTCAGAGTTGGAGGAGACGCAGTCGATACTGTCGGGCATCGACCAGGCCGTCAGTGTCCTCAACAGACGGGCACGCGACCTTGCCCGGCAGCAGGAGGCACTGCTCTACCGGGACTGACCAACCGACTGGCTGGCTGGCCGCGGCGTGTCACGGTTTCTCTCTCCCCCTGCCTCCCTCCTCCCTCCGCTCTCTTTTCAGCGGCGCCGTCAGTCACATGCGCAGTGTTCCTGACTGCCTTGCAATTCATCTCTTACTTATGCTCACGCTGGAACCAGCACAATGTCGCTTTCCTGTCTCCGTGCTCTGTCCGTTTAATTATGCCCGGAGAGAACTCCAAATCTCTCTGACACACTTGTACCCTTCATACCTGTCCAGCTCCTCTGATCGTGTGTGTGCTAATGTGGTCAGACGACTGGGTGTCTGTCTGTGTCGATGGTAACACTATTGGTGCCCGCCCGTGTCAGATCGAGTGTGTCAGCCGAGGACTGCATGCAACGATTGTAGCGAGACACGTTTCGGCCCCCCTTCTGGGCATCGAAATGACTTGCCATACATCCAACCATTGATTGACACGTCGCCGTAATTATATTAAGTGCGGCTAAGTCATCAATTACTTAAGCTTGACGAGCAAAGAGCGAAAAAGAGGGCCGACCGGAAGACAGCCCTCGCATAGCGTAACACCAGGCAGAGTCTGTCGGTCTCTCATGAAATGAACTGTGTCAATCGACCAGCTCTCAATCACGCGCTGACAGCGCCCGCCTGGCGTACGTATCTTCCAGCGGCGCCGCCCGCCACCGTTACTGTAGTTTCCCCATGTACTGTATCTATAGAGAGAGACAGAAGAAGAGAGGAACAAGCGGGTGTGCGGGACGGGACTCCATTTTCGACCGTCACTTATGTTCCCACTGCATGTCGGGAGGAAAACCCCTCAGTCAGTCAGCGTATGCAAATGCATATACCCCACACACATGCAGCCATGCAATCAATTCCCACTAACCAACACACATACACACACACACACACGTGTACTCTCTCTGCTAACTCAAGGCTGGGCGTGGCATCTGTACAGACACACATGCACCCCTCTTCCCTTCCCGCCCAGGCAGGCAGGCCTGCAGTCTACGTAGTTAGCTGGAGAGAGACGTCAGTCAACTTCCCTAAACGAATCAGGCAACTATATATGCGCACGCCTACATGCATACCTATAAGCACTCAAGAACCCGTACGTAGCTCAGCACGCCGACTTAAGACACATGCACACAAGTGAGTACGTACGCCTTTCAATATATCCACGGGGCGTCGATAGATAAACAAAGGCAATGCTTGCACACTGCGATAGAGAAGGAAGGTGCACGCCACACACACGTGTTACTTACAAATATGGATGGATGAGCAAACAGGCGGCGTCTGTTTGCTCGGTCAGGCCGCACCATATCGCCTCGGTCAGGCCTTAGGACTGCCGGGCGGCCCCAACAGGCAGGCATGCAGCCAGACAGGCAGGCAGACAGACCCACCACATATCACTGCAGGCAGGACCACACACACAACTGCACACGGGAGAGACAGACAAGACGGTGAGACATAGGTGATGCATGTGTGTGTTTTGTATCAGTGATGTCTCTGGTGTGAGTGCGTGTGTATCGTGGCCTGCGGTGCTCACAAGTAGGGAGGGATACCTGCAGACAGACAGACAGACAGACAGGCAAGGCAAGGCAAGGCAAGCGAAGAGGAGAGGAGAGGAGAATGACTGCCTACGTATGCATTAAGTTGCTCACGAGTATGGCGGGTCATATACAGACAGCTCTGTATCAGACGTTCTGGTCGCCGTTGCTTCCATAGTAGCTGACCACACGCACATTCATCCACAAACCCAGCAAGAATCGATGAGCAATCCATACAGACAGCCGATGTAGACCTAAGAGCGCGGTTTCTTTCCCCATGACATACTAAGGGGGGTAGGGGGTAGGATAAGGGGGGTAGACTATGGGGTCATATATGGGCTCAGGAGTGGGACTGGGGGCGGGACGGGACGGACACAGCAACAAGCACGTGTGCGATCGATGGATTCGATGCCCTCTGACTGTCGGTCGTTTCTTACAGGATCGGGTTATATATATAGTTGACGAGCACGCACGTATTGCTGTAGTAATAGCACTTATAGATGTTGTTGCCATACTGAACGTACGTGTAATCTGTGTCAACACAAGAAAGCAGTGAATGGATGGACGGATGGATGGATGGATGGCCCGTCTCGTTGTGTGTGCGCGCGCGCGCGCGTGTGTGTGTGTGTGTGTATACCCGGGTAATACGGGTAATACGGCGGATAGTACGGCGGATAATAATACGGCGGATAATAGTAATAGTAATAGCTGCAGCACGCTCACACACGCATCTTCGTCAGCCAGCCTTCTGTGTGCTGTGTGCGCACATGCGCCACCCACTAGTAGTATTGCTCGAAGTCAGAGACGTCCTGCAGAGAGCGCACCGCATCCATCCACCGCGCACGCTTTACACCCTCACACACACACTCTCTCTCTCATACCTTTGCCTTCCACAGGTTGCCCACAGAAACGTTCTTTGCGAGTCGATACTCCCACGGGTCGAGACCGCTGCTCTCAAACGCCCCGGCCGTGTCGTTGCCTTGGCGGATGCCGTCGATCAATCGCTTGGCCATGTCTGCCTGCCCCTCAGGGAGGCCGGGAAGCTGCTTGTAGGCGGCGAAGGTGGGCATGGCGCCGGGAGGGTGACGGGGAGACTCAGAGTGAGGAGGGGCCGCCCCGGCGTGAAGACGTTTGTCGGCCACCGGTCGCGGCGCTGCGTTTTCCTTCAGGTCGATGACTGAGGGGTCGGTCACGGACTTGTCGAGGCCGGCGATCTTGAAGGGCACAACACAGGCGCCATCCTTGCGGAACGACATCAAAACCGTCTATATCATGGATAAAGTGTTACATACATAGCAGGCAGGCAGGCTGGCTGGCTGGTATGCTGACCACTTGTGCGTCTGTGTTGTTGACGGGGACGATGAACGCGTGAGCGGTCACCCCGTGAGCGGCCGGGACAACCACGTAGTCTTCATACACCGAATCGTCACCGTCAGACTTGGCATTGGATCGCCCATACACCGTCCTGCATGCCATGCGGTGAATAGGTGAGTGAGTGACACACACCACACAAAGGAAGGGAGGGATGCGCGCAAGGTGCATTGCAATGCAAACAGACGCACGGGTGAGTGCGAGGGCAATCATCGTCTGTCTGTCTGTCTGTCTGAGAGTTCCTACCCATTGTGGGACTGCACGAGCACGTCAGCGTCACCCTTCCGCGAGTTGACTGCAAGAATGACCTCAGTGAAGCCCATCATCTTGGCCCGGCCCTGCACGCAGTCAAACACACAGGCACAGACAGACAGACAGGCGACGGACAGAACTTCGTGAGTGTATCCGTGCGTACGTACCAGTTGCAGGGCGATGTAGCGTTCGCTGTCTGCGGCAATGGCCTCTGTGGGAGCGGACGAGAAGTCGACTGAGCCGTCACGTCTGGGCTGGAGGGGCACCGTGCTGATGACTGGACAACCTCGCACGCCGCCGTCGCTCGAAGAGCCGTTCGCTGACAGGCCTGCGTCTCGGGAATGTCGTGCAGTCGTGTGGTGAGCACCGTGTGATCCGGCCTTGGCCTGAGCGGTGCGTACGAGCAGCGTGTTGACTTTGCCAAGCAGGTCCTCGATGCTTCGCATCGCGGAGTCGATGTCTGTCTTGGCACTCTGTGTCCGCTGACATGTTGCGGTGGCAAGGAGGAGCAGACGGCAAAGGACGGAAAGAGAAGATGCCCACTTCATCTCTCCTGATTGAGCAGCCGAAAAAGGCAGACGATGGTTGTACAGCGTTCAGGTTCAGCCGTTTGGGGCAGACCGCTGTAAAGTTGCAGCATCGAATCACGGGATTCAGTTCGTCAACGACATCCGTCCATCGATCTGTCTGTCTGTCTGTCTGTCTGTCTGTGCGCTATTATCGAGGATGCCGACGTACGAAAAACGCGTGTCATCAATCTATCTCATCTCTCTACCGCGGCAGCCTAATGGTTTCCCTCTGGACATCCTTCTCCCCGCCATCCTCCCCCACAACCCTCTCCCGCACCCTCTCGACCGTCCTGGGGTGGACGTAGTAGTCCTGCAGCACGCTGTGCCGCTCCTTGGCCCACTGCTGCTCCACCTCAGCCAGGTAGGCAAAGTGGCCATAGGTGCGGCGGCCGAACCGGGGCGGTAGGGGTGGGATGAGGCCCGCCATGCCGAGCATTCGGGCGGCCGACTTGGTCAGGTGGGCGTTGACGCCCAGCCAGAACTTGACGCGCGAGAACCGGAGGCGCAGCTCCTGTGAGAGATCTTTCTTCTGGATGATGTGAGTGCCCAGCACCTCCATGTGCTTGCCGTCACGCTTGTCTGCAATGATTGATGAGTGGACGGACGGACGTACAGGGGGGAGCCAAAGAATCGACACGCACACACTGACTGACTCTCCACCTCCCGCCCTCCCGCCCTCCCTCCCTCCCTCCCGCCTTTCTCACCTCTGATGTTGCATGCGACCATCCTGAGGAAGCGGTGCCGCCTGACGCCCTGGATCTGGTTCCTTATCACAGGCGGCCCGTTCTTCTTGCTGCACCCCAATCAACAATGCACACACATAGACAGACCGACACACACACACACACACACCCCTCAAATCATCATGCCAATGTTTGCGCTAGCTACATGGAATCTGCGGCACGTGTGTAGCTGGCTACCTGACCTGTAGTATGGGAGGAACATTCGCCGCACCAGCAGCGGGCGCGTCCGGAACATGACCCGTATATATAATACATACAGCTGGTGCAGCGGAGAAGGAGGAGTGTTTGGCAGAGAGGAGGGCTTACACCGGACTGGTCAGATTTGAGGAATCAACATGGGCAGAAAGGCGAGCTCAAAGCTCGCGAAGCGACGGTTCCTCGTGGGGAGTTCAGAGGACGGGAGGCACTTCGAGGCGGGCGTCCCTCGTCAAGAGAAGCAGTATCGCCAGATCTTGTTGGTTTCGATGGCGGTAGGCGGACCGCCGGGAGCCTGCTTTCTGTGAAGATCCCCAGCAGCAGGACACCAGTTTTGGACAGCAGTAGCGGGACAGCAGCGTTCCTGCGCCGGTTGGCTCACTGCTGAGTTGAATCGCCTCGTTTGGTTGGTTGGTGGTGTTGGCTGGCTGGCGGGTGGTGTGGTGTTATCGTTGGTTCCTTATCTGTTGGTTGGTTGATTGTGGTCTGAACGAGTGAGTGAGTATGAGTGGACCGCAGCCATACGTGCCCAGCAGCAAGGTGAGCCAAGGGCCACAGATCTCAGTATCGCGGCTGTCATTCGGTGTCCCCCGTGTGTGTGTGTGTGTGTGTGTGGTGTCAAGTCGCTGACGGGCGGTGGGCAGGGTGGGCGCGAGGGCCACCACCCACAGAGCCGCCAGAACAGCGGCAACTTCCAGGTGGGCCAATGAACCACGATTGATGATGCACAGCACTCACATATGGATGGATGGCTGGATGGCGCACAAATAAGCGAGGCGCGGCGCTGTTTCTGTGATGGTTTGTGTCTGTCTGTGTGTCTGTGCAGTTCGATCCCAATTCCTCCGAGTTCATCCCGGATTTTTCGGCGCGAACTGGGCGCCTCGGCATGGCGAGCAGTACGCCACGCCCAGAAGGACACGCACACTTACTCTCGACCGAAGCGGCACTGAATCGATGTCCGTGCCTGCGCGTGTGTTGTCTGTCCGTTCGTGTGTGTCAGCGACTTATCAAGGCCCTCCTGCGTCGACGGGTCAGATGGGAATGTACCCCCACAGCCAGTACCCCCACCCCCAGTACCCGTCGGGCCACCCCTACTGGACGGCCGCGGCCATGCAGAACATGAGCATGAACATCAACATGAACATGCCCGCCATGAACGGCATGCACCCGATGCACCACCCCACACACGCGCCAGCGGCGGCCTCGCCGATGCCCCATGCGCCTCCCATGGGCAGCAGCCGGGGCATCAACCATCCTCGCTACTCGGGCTATGGCCAAGGTGGCGGGAGAGGGGCAGGGGGAGGGGGAGGGGGAGGTGGCTACCCCTTCCAGTATAACCAGATGAGAGGCTCGTCTGCCTACGATTTGGATGCGGCGTACGCCGCCGCCAGCATGGTGGGGGCGCGAGGCGGCTATGGGGGCATGCGTCACGGCATGCCGGGAGGGCCGATGGGAATGGGCACACATGACAGAGGTCGGTCGGTAGACTAGACAGACGCACATTCACCCACTTCACTCACAGGCTTATCAGAAGAGCACACAGAGAGTACCGACTCGACTGTGGTGTGGTCTGGCCGTCATATCCATGGCAGGTCGATATGGCGGCGGTTCATCGTCCATGTCTCACCTTCCCCCCTCGACCAAGAGCGGCCAGTCGTCGGATTTTTCACACCCCCACACACAACACCACGGCGGCGGTGGCGGTGGGGGTGCACACTACACCCCCACCCCCAGCGGGCACTACTCGGGTCCCGTTGGAGGGCCAGGCGCACACCCAGGAGGGCCGGGCCATTTTTCACAGAGGAGATCACACGACGGACAATACAGAGGTAGGTATGCCAGGCAGTCAGCTAGCCACTCGCATACAGACAGACAGACAGACAGAAGACGCCCCTTGCTGTTTGTGCTGTTTGTGATCCGATCCGATTTGCCCACCAATCAGGTGGTGGTCGTGGAGGCCGTGGCGGTCGTGGTCGCGGCCTGAGCGGTGCGTCGCCCAAGAACAGTGGCGCCCCCGGCGTGCATCCGTCGTCCCACCAGGCCAGCCCGGCGGGCCCGCCACTGCGCACCCCGTCGCCATCGGTGGCCGGCCACCCCAAGACATCTCCATCGCCCCAGCAGCAGATGACCCCGCCCAGCCAGCCGCCACCACCTCCCCCGCCACCACCACCACCGCCACCGCCCAAGACCAACGCCACAGGCCAGACGGGCCCGACGACTGGTACGTGGACGGGAGGAGAGAGAAGACGGTGTGTTGCCATGCATGGGCATGCGTGACGACACACTGTGATTGTGTTTGCTGTGTGTGTGTGTTTTTGTATGTTTGTTCATTGGATGCAGGCAAGTCGTATAGCGACACGGTGAAGGGCAGCGTCGTCAAGGAGGGCCCGGCAGGGGCAGGGGCAGCGCCGTCTACCACACTACCCAAGGTGAGAGGAGAGAGTGAGCTGAGTGTGGCGACATGTCCCTCCCTCCCTGCAACCACACGTGGCTCTGTTGTGTCTCCTTTTCTCCATCAGCCGATATCGGGTCAGGCGCCCCCCACGCCCAAGAAGATCATGCCGCGGCCCAGCCCCACCCCTCCGTCAACCGCCAGCGCACAATCACAACCCACTGCCCCTCTCCCCCCCAACCACCACCCCCACCACCAGCAGCAGCAGCAGCAGCAGGGGGCGCCCCACCCCAAGCCCTCGGGTGCATCGGACGACTCAGGCCGCACCGGCACGCCTGCAACGTCGCTGGCGTCCTGTCTGGACGGTGCCGAGACGGAGAGGGAGAAGAGCACCACCACCGGCACCGACGGGGGGCCGAGTGTCGACGGAGAGGGCGTGGCGGACAGGGACGATGGTGGGCAGGTGCACGCCAGAGCTGCACCTGCATCTGCATCTGCGGCCCCCCTGACGCTCGAGGGAGCTGTGCTGCCCGTCGCTTCACCCACCAGGCGGCTCATGCCGCTGTCAAGGAGCGACGTCAGGGACGTCAAAGAGGTCAAAGAGGTCAAGGAGGTCAAGGAGGTCAAGGAGGTCAAGGAGGTCAAGGAGGTCGAGGAGCCTAAGGAGGCCAAGACGACTCCTGTGGCTGGGGTGCAGCTCATAGGTCCAGCGGACCTATCCGTGATCTCTGTAGAGGACGTAGAGGTGGTCTCTGTCATGTCTGAGGCCCCCCGACGGCTCCTCCCCAAGACATCTGAGGAGCCACCGTCAGCTGACGACACTCTCAAGGAGTCCCCGCCACCACCACCAGCCCCACCAGCAGCCCCACCAGCAGCAGACGAGGAGGAGGAGGAGAAGAAGCCCATCGTGAAAGCGGAGGCCCCTGCTACTGTCGAGCCGCCGTCACTCACTCCCACGCCCCCAGCCGCCCAGGAGGCCACTGCGGCCGAGCCCAAGCCAGTGGTGCCGCCCGAGTTGCCAGCTCCGGAAGAAAGGCAGCCAGTAGCGGTTGACGTTGCCCCTGCTGTCGCCAAGAGGCAAGAGAAAGACGAAGAGGGTGATCGAGATCAAGAGCAGCGTGCAGAGGACGTGGCCAAAGAGGGGCGTGAGGATGTCTCGCAAGAGGCGCTGCCCGCACCAGATGAGGAGGCACTCACGGAGGAGAAGGAGGGTGAGACGGCGGCGGCCGACGGCGACGGTGAGGGCGCTGCACCACCGGCGGCAGCTGAGGTGGCCAAGAAGGATGATGTCTCTCTCCGCGGCTCATCCGTGCCGGAGCTGGCTGCTGATGCTGCGGGTGGGGGGCACGAGCGAGAGGCACCACCAGCACCAGCACCAGCAGCAGTGGAGGAGCCACCAGCTACGGCAGCATCTGCATCACCACCACCAGCGCCCGCCCCAGCGGCGCCTGAGGAGAAGAAGAGCATGTCGTGGGCGGAGAGGCTCAAGTCAACCATGACACGTAAGACACACACACACGCACAGCCAGCCAGCCAGCCAGCCATAGCCGAGAGTATGTTGGGCGGTGTGTCTCGAGACACACGCCCCATAGGCAGACAGACAGACAGGCAAGCAGCCAGCCAGCCAGCGTAGGTGCCTAGCCTTTCCTTTCGTTGTACATGCTGCTGCTACGTAGTACTAACAGACCAGAAGTACGTACGTACGTACCTGGTCTGGCTGGCTGCTACATGACATGATACCTACCGACCCATCATGATCACGCACACACACACGTCAGTCATCTCATGTCATTTCATGTCATTTCATGCCATCCACCCTCTTGCAGCGTTCTTCCTCCGTGGGGCCAAGACCGCTGCTCAAGAGCATGCTGCTGACACACGCGGAGGAGGTAGGGAGGGAGGGACGGAGGGACGAGGGACGGAGGAGGGAGGCAGACGATCTTTTAGTAGGGGGTGGGGCCATAGCGCTAGTAGGGGTCACGTACGTCACACCTACACGCACGCGCACCGTATTGCCCTCACTGCACCGGTCGGTAGATAGCGAGCTCGTTGGGAGTGGTGTAAGGGGTCGTACGTACGGACGGAGCTGCCATGTTGTCGTGACGATGTCATGGATGCAATGCACCCACGCTGTCGATGTGACATGACTGACTGACACCGAAGTGCATTCATTGTGTTTTTCTCCCTGTCTGTCTGTCTGTCTGTGTGTCTGTGTGTCTGGGTCTGTGTGCAGGTGCAGATGCGCCCAAGAAGGCCTCGCCAGCCACCAAACCCGTCAAACAAAGTGAGTGAAAGAACAGCAAGCAGCCTGTGTGCAGCCAGCCAGCCAGCCAAACACCACTCCTGTCTGTGCTGTGCGCTGTGTGTGTGTGTTTGTCTGTCCCTCCCTCCCTCCCTCCTTCCCTTTAGTGGTGCCGTCCAAGCCCCCAGCTGGTGCTGCTGCCCCGAGGCTGCCCGCCGCAGTCGTCGTCGCGCAGACCAGCAAAAGCTCGCCCTCCTCCAGTGCAGAGGCCTCGCCCTCATCTGCTTCACGGCCGCTCGTTAGTTCCACACAGCCACACCCAGTGGCTCCCTCCACCAGCAGCCGCACGGCCACCACCACCACCACGTCGACCACGCCATCTCTGACGCCGCCCACTCTCACCCCGGCCACTAATGCCATCGGCGGCCAGTCGACGACGGCTGTGGCGGCCGTCGCCACCGCAGCCACTGCACACAAGACGGTGCCCGAGGAGGGGCAAGGCAAGGACAAGGACACGGCCGAGGACAAAAAGGCACAGGAGAAAGAGGAAACTGTGCCGAAGGAGCCGGCTGCTGAGGCGGCGAACGACAAGGAGGCAGCGGCAAAGGAAACAGCTGCTGCGAAGAAGCCTGCTGCCGTCACACCTACACCTACACCGGTACCCGCACCACAGAAGGCGCCCGTCGTCCCCCAGCCCCAGCAGACACCAGCTCCCGTCGACCCTGCGGTGCCCTCGCCCTCACCACCACCAGTGGTGGACGAGCATGTGCCGGCTCCGCGCGTCCCAGCGGGGAGCGTGTGGGGCGGGGGCGCTGCGGCGAGCGTGTCTGCCGGCAAAAGACAGACCTTCGCTGAGGTCTTGACGCAGCAAAAGGCAGCGGCTGACGCTGCTGCCGCGGCTGCCGCTTCGGGCCAGCAGAGGACGTCCCCGCAGAGCGGCAAGAAGCCCCTCGTGACGCCACCAGCAACGGGCCCTGCTGCTGCCGCTGCTATTGCAGAGCCGCATTCTGCGGCCAAGGAGGCGGCGGACGAGAGAGAGGAGGAGACAGAGAGTACTGGTGGTGGTGGTGGTGAGGCTGCAGCCACACTTCCCGGTGGGGCCGCGAAGCCTGTGGGCGAGCCAGTTGCCGACGCTGTCGGCGATTCTGACTTTGCCGAGGAGGGGAAGGAGAGCGACCAGGAGAAGGAGCGGAACAAGCCGCTTGACGCACCACAATCCCCCACTGAAAAAAAGGAGGCTACGCCAAAGGAGGCGGTCGGCGTGGAGGAGGAGGAGGATGCCAAGCCCGCCGTCGTTGAGAAGGAGACTCCGTCGACTGATCGACAGCCAGGCATCCAGGCGGCGGAGGACCAGAAGACACCCGACAAGCAGGCAGATCAGCCGGAGGCCCCAGCGCCAGCTGGTGAGGATGCCCTCGACGACAAGCTCAGCCAAGGAGATGATACCGAGTCGCCGGAGCCCGCCCCGGCCGCGTCGGCGTCGGGACCACCCATAGCAGTCGACACAGACGGCGGCAGCATCAAGGCGGCGGGGGAGACGCCCTCTCCGTCCGAATCGTGGCACAAGGTGGGCAAGTCGCCCGTGTCGCAGGCCGTGCTGCCGGTGCTGCCCTCCGGCGTGAGTGCGGCGGTGGACACCATCCTGGAAGAGGCTGAGTACGAGAAGGTGCCCGAGGACCTCGGCCTGCAGACCTTTGACCATGAGCCGGTGGCGGCCGAGGGCAGTCTGAAGAGTGTGGAGGGGGAGGGGGACGAGGAGGAGAGTAAAGGTGGTGAGCTGGGGCTTCACGAGGAGAGAGGGGAGAGGGAGACCGGCATGGTGGTGGCTGCTGCTGCAGAGGAGGAGAGCAATGAGCAGCCTGCATCTGCACCTCCACCAGAACACACAGAGAGGTGGGTGGGTGGGTCGGTGTGGCGGAAGAATGAAGGCATGCGCTCGATCACCTACCTAATCAATTCATCATGTGTGTCGTTGTGTGCGTGTTCAGCAGCTCCAGCTCGCCTGCCGCGGTGGCCCCCGCGGCGGTTGCCGCCAAGAAGGCCGCTGAGCCGTCGGTTCTCACCTACTCCATCGACTTCATGATGTCACTCAGGAACAAGGTGCGTGCCTCGCGTCGTATGTCCGTCCGCGTGCATCATGTTGCCTGTCTGCCTGCCTGTCTGTGTGTCTGTCTGTGTGTCTGTCTGTGTGTCTGTCTGTGTGTGTGTCTGTGTGCAGGCTGAGTGTCAGGTTTCGCCCCAATTCACCGATGTCATTGCCAAGTACTGCTCAATCAAGAACGGTCCGCAAACGACAAACACACATCACACACACACATACGCACACCCACCACTCCACACCCACGTGTGTGTCCCATCCCTCCCTCCCTCCCTCCCTCCCTCCATCCATCCATCCATCCATGTGTTCTCAGCCCCCGCAGTAGAGGAGCAGCCCGACGACCGGCAGCCCACGAAGCGCTCGCTGCGCCCGGGGGGCGGGGGCGGCGGGGGGTTCGGCAAGATGGACATCGGACGCTTCGGCGGCGGCAGGAATAGAGACGACGTCAGTAAAGTGACCGAGACAGTCAGAAAGGACTCACCTGCCCCACGTCTTGTGTGTTATCTTGTGCGTGGTTGATTCCCTCTGTCTGTCCCTGGCTGGCTGGCTGGCTGGCTGGCTGGTGCATTCATTTATGTCTTTGTTTAGCGTGAGAACGCCATGTGGGATCGCGATCGGATGGACCGCGACCGCGAGAGGGATAGAGAGAGGGACAGAGAGAGGGATAAGGAGAGAGAGCGGGAGAGGGAGAGCGTCAGAGGCCAGAGGGACACCGAGGTGAGTGAGTCGGGCGAGCCACGTGTAAAGGATGGATGGATCGTCAGTCAGTCAGTCTCTCTCTCTCTCTCTCTGTGTGTGTGTGTGTGTGTGTCCCCGCAGCGTGGCGGTCGTGGGCGTGATGCGCGTGACCGCTGGTCGAACCTCAGAGGTGCGTGCGGGGCACAGACAAGGATGGATGGGTGTCCTTTCATTGTGTGCATCCTGCCTGGGTCTGTCTGTCTGTCGTCCTTCAGATGCATCCCCGCCGCCCGAGGCGAAGCCGAGTGAGGACTCCTGGATCATCAAGCAGAGGAAAGCCAAGGAGGAAGGGTGCGCACCGCATCAACGCACTCACACCCACCAGCTCAGCTCGCACACAGTCCCCCCTGCCCTGCCCTGCTCTATGGTGCCCCATCCCATGTGTGTGTGTGTGTGTGTGTGTGAGCAGGTCCAAGTCTGAGCAGGTGATGCGTGTGCTGAAGGGTCTGCTCAACAAGCTCACCATCGAGAAGTTCGAGCGCCTCTACCAACAGATGCTCACCGCCGGCATCACCGCACTCGAAGAGGTAGATTTGTTGTGCCCGACACTTGACACACACACACACACACCAATCTCTCTCCCTCTCTCTCTCTCTGTGTGTGTGTGTGTGTGTGTCTGTGTGTGTGTGCAGGTGGAGGGCCTAATGCGGATGGTGTTCGAGAAGGCCACCACGCAGCACCACTTCATCGGGGTGAGACGGACAGGACAGACAGAGGGACACACCACACTACACCACACGGGCAAGGCCGCGTATGTGTGTGTGTTGTGTTGTGTTGTGTTGTTGTGTGTGTAGATGTATTCCGACCTGTGCAAGAAGCTCAACGAGGACCTCTCGTCCAAACTCGGCATCGGCGAAAAGGGAGACGGACATTTCAAAAGGCACACAGACAAACAGCGACCCACACACACACCCACACCCACACACATGTATTGTATTGTATTGTATTGGATTGTGTTGTCGTTGGCCCTGGCAGGCTGTTGCTGACGCGTTGCCAGGAGTCGTTCGACGAGTATCTGAAGGAGCCCGAGGGCCTCAAGGACCTCACTGGCGACGAGTACATGGAGGCCTACTTCAAGTACAAGAACAAAATGCTCGGAAACATGAAGTTCGTCGGTACGTCAGTCAGTCAGTCATCCGACGACACACACACACGCATCGCATCAGCATCAGAGGCCAGGCCTTGTCGCGTGGGATGGGATTGGATTGGATTGGATTGGATTGTGTGTGTGTGTGTAGGCAACCTGCTGGTGTTGCGGCTGTGTCCGGCCAAGATCATCTTCACGATTGTGGACGAGCTGTGGCAGGCCGGCGGAGACGCGCAGCTCGTACGCACACACACATACCTGGGTGTGGCCATGTGTGATGGATACATTGTGTCGTGTGGTGTGGTGTGTGCAGGAGACCCTCTGCGCGTTCCTCAAGGTGGTGGGGCCGTCCTTCGACACCCAGCAGGTGCGCTCGCTGTGCTGACACACACACAGACACACACACACACACACGGACAGACAGACAGACAGACAGATGGATGGATGGATGGTTCAGTGGGCCAAGTACCGCGACTTCGATGACGTGTTCAAGAAGCTGGACAAGAAGGCCAGCGACGATTCCACTAGCGTCAGAATCAAGTGCCTCATGAAGGTAAGGTACCCTCACCACACACACACACACGCCAAGCAAGCTGCTTTGTCCCATTCACTCACTCACTCATCTGTCTGTCTGTCTGTGTGGGTGTGGGTGTCTTTGTGTCTGTGTGTCTGTCTGTCGGTAGGATGTGTTGGATCTTCGGTCGTCCTCATGGGAGGACCAGAAGCCCAACAAGCAGCAGGGGCCCGAGAAGATCTCAGACGTCTACAAGAAATTCGCTTCCGAGAAGGGACAAATCAAACTCAGCAAGACAAACACCGTACGACCACCCAATCACCCACCCACCCATCCACTCACCCACGCCCCCCAGCCCTACTACTGCCCCATCCCATCCCAATCGCCCCTCTCTCCCTCTGGCCCTGGCTCTGTGCTGTCTCTGCACACACACTTCAGGACCTCCGTGGCAATCCTTCTGACGCATCAGCGCCACCCCCCAGCCCCTCCGAGTCGCCCAACAACACCACCACCACCACCAACGACGGCAGCGAGTGGCAGACCGTCGCCCACAAAGGCAGGCCCCCGGCCGTCCGAGCTGGGCGGGACGACACTTCCCTGACCTCGCTGAGCCGCTCCGTCACCTCCCCCCTGCCACCTCTGGGCCCCAGCGCCTCTGCTGGCCGACAGGGGTCGTCGGGCGGTGTCGGGGGCGGCGGTGTGGTGACCTCCCGGCGTGTCATTACCATGGGTCCTGAGAAGAGGGAGAGGCGGCGTGACCGAGAGAGGGAGCGGGACCGGCGGAACAGGCAGCCGGAGAGGGACAGGGGGGAGGAGAACAGCGAGACGCCCTCTCCACATACCAGCACTCTAGAGGTGGGCAGGGCAGATGAGATAGATAGATGGCTGGATGGATGGGATGACCGACTCAGACAGACAGACAGACATACAGAGGGCTCATGTGTCTTGTTTCTCTCTCTCTCTCTCTCTCTCTCCCTCCTTCTCTTCCTTGTCCGATGGATGGATGGATGGATGGATCGGCCAGCGCGGCATATCGGCGGTGTCTGTGGGCTCTTCACTGGGCGTCCGCTCATCGCCTGGCCCCTCGCCCGGCGTCAGCCCCGACAGCTCGCCCAAACACATGAGCATCGTGCCCGTGACGGAGGGACACCAACACCAGCACCCATCGCTGACGACACCATCTGGAGCCCACACACTCGATCCAGAGGTGACCAGTGGCGACCAGCGGGCGATAGGGGTAGGTGTATTGTGTTCTGTCTCTCTCTGTGTGTGTGTGTGTGTGTGTGCGCAGGAGGTGGCTGCTCGGCGGAAGCGTCGGGCGAAGGAGGCCATGATGGACCTGTGCGCCACACACACCGTGTCGGAATGCGTGCTGGCCTTCGAGGAACTGCTGATCCCCTCGGACCAACAGGAGGTGTGTTCTCCCAAACACACACACACACACACCCCTACACACCATGGTGCTGTGTGTGTGTGTGTCCTGGACAGGAGGTGTTGTGTGAGGTGCTGTACGCCATCATTGACGAGATTCGGCAGAACCAGGTGGATGCCCGGCCGCTGTGCTTCCAGGCGCTCGTCGAGTGCGCAAAGGGCAAGGCCATCGACGCAGAGACACTGCAGAATAGGTACGTGCGATGGATGGGCGACTGGTGGATGGATGGACCCTTATGGCCTGTGTCGTGTGTGGATTGTGTGTGTGTGTGTGTGTGTATGTGTGTATGTGGTATGTCACAGTGTGCGCGTCACGTTTGTGGAGAGCTTCGATGAGATCAAGGTGGACGCACCAAAGCTGCCCAGCATCGTAGAGGATGACCTTCTCCCGGCACTCGACAGTGAGTGAGACACACACACGCGCACACACACACACACACACACACACAGAGAGAGAGAGAGAGAGAGAGGGATGTGTGTATGTGTCTGTGTCTGTGTGCGCAGGGTGTGACCCTGACTGTTCGGTGATCCCCGAGGGTCTCCGGGCGGACATGCGGAAGCAGCTCTAACCACACAGACACACATCTCTATCTGCATGCGCCACATATAGCAGTGTCTGTCTGTCTGTCTGTCTGTCCGTCGCATTTATCAGCCAGCCAGCCAGCCAGCCGGCCTGTGAGCCAGTGCATACGCGCAGACATCCATCCATCCTTACATATCATACCCACCCGTCCGTCCGTCCGTCCCTCCCTCTGTCTGTCTGTCTGTCTGTCTGTCAAGTGTGTGTCGTGTCCACACACACAGGCAGGCAGCCAGCCAGCCAGCGAGGCGCATGCAGTGAGTGACTGAGTGAGTGATTGATGAGTGAGTGCATTCATGAGTGCGCCGTTTTAACCAACCCCTTCGTTCGTTCGTGTCTGTCTGCTGCAGTGAGTGCATGTCATGTGGGTGCGTGTCCTGTTGACCTCTATGTCTGTCTGTCTGTCTGTCAGCGGTCTTTACATTTCTATACCCACCCGCCCATCATATCGCATCGGTCGGTCTCTCTCTCTCCCTCCCTCTCGCCTTGCCTGCCAGCCTGCCACTGATGCTTGACGTTTTGAATTCCCTCCCTCCCTCCCTCCCTCCCTACTTCTCACTCATGTGTCATGTGTGGTGTGTACGTCTGTCTGTCTGGGTGGGCAAGCAAGGGGGCAGCGCACAGCACACACGCCACCTGGCCTGGTACTCCCTCGCTCTTTTTTTCACCCCCCCGCCCCCACCCCCCCGCGGCGTGTGCATGTGCATCGATCTCTCGCCCCCCCTCTCTGCGCTGCGTGAGTGTGCACACACCCGCCGTCCGTCCGTCCGTCCCACACGGACGGACCCCACCCACCAAGATCTCTGTTCGCTCGCCCCTCTGTCTACATATTTTTTCGCCGGCGACAGGCAGTCGATGGGTCGCTCGCTGTGCTGGACGGCGATGCATCCCTCCTTCCATCCGTCCGTCCATCCATCCCATTCGTTCGTGCGCGACAGATAGATTGAGAGATAGGTGGGTGGGTGTGTGGCTGGGTGGTGCGTGGGCTTTAAGAGCGAGCGATGCTGATGCTGCTACTGCTGCTGCTGATGTGCCCCCCTCTTTGCCTGTCTGTCTGCCTCTATAGCGACACCGACCGGGGGAGTCAGGGAGGGAGTCAGGGAGGGAGGGAGGGAGAGAGAATGTGGGATGCCTTCCTGCAGCGGCCTTGGCATACACAGGTGCGCGTGCGTGTGGCGTATGGTGTATGGTGTGTGCGTGTGTGGGTAAGTCTTGATGTGTGTGTGTGTGTGTGTATGTGTGTGTGCATGTGTCTTGTGCCTGTGGGAGTCAAGTCGATTTTAGTGTGTTGGTTCTCAGTGGTGGGTATTGGAGAATGACGGATGGGTAGATGAGGGTGCGGTGTGTCATGGTATCAGCTATCGCATGGCGCGCGCTCACACACCGCCGGCAGAGCAGAGCAGAGCCCACAGACCCAGCAGGCAGGCAGGCAGGCAGGCAGGCACACGCACAACAAACACGGCCCCATGCACCATGACAGCCAGCCGTCCTGTCCCGCCCGTGTGCTGTGCATGCCATCGGTGGCTTGACAATTGATGATGCGCGCATCATCGTACGTGGAATGAATTCTCCTTACGTCACGTCACCTCACGGTTCGTTGGTTTCCAGTCTCACCTCACACGGACGGACAAGTCCACATGCAAACATTTCTCTCGCAGGTAGGTGTCAGTCAGTGTAGATCGATCAGATCGAGGCAAAATTGCTCATGCACACGCAATGAATGCAATACCACTTCCATCCATGC